AAGGTAATAAAAATTGGACCTAAAACGGTCGATTGTATTTCTGTTGGCTATGCACAGAATAATAATACATATTGGTTCTTAGTGCATGATTCAAAAATTTCAGATATACACAAGGACACGGTTTTGGAATCAAGAAATGCATCTTTCTTTGAAAATGTATTTCCTTGTAAGACTAAGGATGAAGCCAGTTCATCAAAACGAACTCATGAAGAAGTTCATGATTCGGTTGAGGTTCAAGATGTTGAACCAAGACGGAGCAAAAGGGCAAGAGTAGAAAAATCATTCGGTGATGATTTTGTAACCTATTTGCTAGAGAGAGAACCTCTAACTTATGCTGAGGCAGTAAGTCTTCTGAGGGACCTTTATGGGAAGAAGTCATAAAGAGTGAGATTTATTCAATTTTACAGAATCATACTTGGGAGCTTGTGAATCTCCCACCTAGACAGAAACTATTAGGATCTAAATAGATCTTTAAGAGGAAAATAAAACCTGATGGTTCCATTGATAAATACAAGCCAGGCTTGTAATCAAAGGGTATGAACAACGAGAAGGTTTAGACTACTTTGATACGTATTTTCCCGTGACGAGAATAAATTCCATAAGGATGATGCTTGCTATCACAGCCTTAAGAAATTTGGAAATACATCAAATGGATGTTAAAACAGCTTTCTTAAATGGAGATTTAGATGAAGAAATCTATATGGAACAACCCGAGGGTTTCCGAGCTCCAGGAACAGAAAAGAAAGTTTGTAAACTAGTAAAGTCCCTGTATGGTCTAAAGCAAGCACCTAAAAAGTGGCATGAAAAATTTGACCATGCAATGATTACTAGTGGATTCAAAATTAATGAGTGTGACAAATGCGTTTATGTCAAGGAGATAGAAAATGATTATGTCATATTATGTCTATATGTAGATGATATACTCATTGTTGGTAGTAGTGACAAGTTGGTCAAACCTACCAAGAACATGTTAAACTCTAAGTTTGACATGAAAGACATGGGTCTAGTTGATGTGATTTTAGGTATTAAAATCATAAGGACAATAGATGGTCTAGTTTTGAGTTAAACTCATTACATAGACAAAATTCTTGACAAGTTTAACAAGAATGATTCTGGAGTCACAAAAACGCTATTAGATAACAGTATCCATTTATCCAAAAATCTTGGACAAGGTATATCTCAAGTGGAATACTCTCGGATAATAGGGAGTTTGATATATCTAATGAGTTGTACTAGATCAAATATTGCTTACGTTGTGAGCAAATTGAGTTCATACTCGAGTAATCCTAGTGCTGAACACTGGACTTCTATAATTAGAGTACTGAGGTATCTAAGACATACTCGTGATTTTGGACTGCATTATACCATATATCCATTTGTGTTGGAAGGTTACGCGGATGCCAATTGGATCTGATATAAAGAACTCACACTATACAAGTGGCTATTGTTTACACTAGCTAGGGCAGCCGTGTCATGGAAATCCTCAAAACAAACTATAATAGCCAAATCCACAATGGAATCCGAGTTCATTGCCTTAGATAAGTGTGGTGAGGAGGCTGAATGACTATGCCATTTTTTTGGAGGATATTCCAAAGTGGGAAAAACATGTGCCACCTATCAGTATTCATTGTGATAGTCAATCGGCAGTTAGAAGGACACAGAGTACCATGTATAATGGTAAGTCGAAACACATTCGTCGTCGACACAATAACATTAGACAACTCCTCTCAACAGGAATTATCACAATTGACCACGTGAAGTCAAAGGATAATCTTGCGGATCCGCTAACCAAAGGATTAAATAAAGAGACAGATGAAAGATTGACTAAAGGAATGGGTGTAAAGCCTGTGAAGAGATAAAAGTCTTAAGAAGGAAAACCCAACCTAGTTGATTGGAGATCCTAAGATCTAGGTTTAATGGGACAACCTAATCATAAGACTTAGTGTGGTCACTGTGGGGATAAACCTCAACCCATTCCTGTCATCAAACAGTGATATGACGGAAAAGGATAGCAAACGGTTGTTTTAATGATACTTAAGTAAGTAATACCATTTACTCTATACATAAGGAGTCACCTGTGTGAGAGAAGTGGGGCCCCTTCAAAGGAGAACTGTTAACGCTCAGTTCTTTAGAAACTCTTGCAGAACCAGGACGTGTTCATGGTCAAAATGGACAAAATCATGAGAACGAAACTAAATAGAAATGGTTCTTGTGTACTGTATGTGGGTTTCTTTACACAGTACAGCCGGACAGTTCAAGGACATCGCATCTACTGGACAGCTAGTAAAGCAAACATACTTTACAAGGAGGAAGTTCAAAGAGTAAAACCTACTTTCTCTATGCAGGGATCAGTTGGTGAACACCAACATCCTTTATTCGAAACAATATCTTATTTATGTGGGGGATTGTTGGAAATGAGTAGTAAGTGAATGAGAATTAAGTTTCTCAAGAGTTGGAAAAATAGAGTTAAGGCTAAGGGACTTTGTCCCACATTGGTGTTGGGAAGAGTTGGAACTCACTTTATAAGTAAGAGACCAAAATTGACTTGCAAGTTGACTCTCCAATACTGTACCACATCTCTCCCGCTCGCGTACGCCCGCACAGGGGGGTGCAAATGGAGGTCCGATTCGGGGACAAAATAGCTTGACTCATGTGTGCACGTGACCTGCGGACACCAATGTCGAACCTAACTCTCACGGGCCTGATCAACCCACGTTTTGCTCCGGTTCGAATTAATTTTTTCCAACTAAATTTTAAATGGAGAATTATGTTCATTCATTTCAGTCAAAATGAAACTGAAACGTTGCAATTGTTTTGTTGTCATAAATGATCAGAATGAATTGGCAGATTTAATTCTATTAAAAGGCAGAAATGAATTCATTTGACTGTTGGGCTGGTCAAAAACGTGGAGGTTTTGTGCCATGAATTCTCTACATTTAACAAAATTAAAATACTGAAACCGTTACAAGGTTTGCTGCCATTTGAAAGGTTTCTCTAGTCTATAAATAGGCACTCATTTTCCAAAGTTCAACACACCTTTTCTCCCATCTTTTCTCAGTTTCTTTTGAGCATTTCTTTCCTTCCAATTTTTGGTGTTCATCACTTTTGTTCTAAGTTCTAGTTCGCTTGTAGAATTGCTTTGTGCTAAGTAGTCTCTACGTTTCAACGCATCTTTTCTCCCATCTCTTCTCAGTTTCTTTTGAGCATTTCTTTCTTTTCAATTTTCGGTACTCATCACTTTGTTCTAAGTTCTAGTTCGCTTGTAGAACTGCTTTGTGCTAAGAAGTATCTACGTTTCCGTTGTATCCTGGAAAACAGTTGCTCGAGATCCTCAAGCACCTTAAGAGGGGGTAAATCTGTTTTAAAAAGATCGTGTTTTCACGAGTCTCAAATTTTCCTATTTTGATTTTCCTTAGTCTTTGCGAATGCTCTTCGTATTTTTACCAACAAGGGCATCCTCATTAAAAAGGAAATATAGATATAGATTGCTTCTTACATTCCTTGGCTTTGTTGTGGACTACTTCTAGTCTGACTCTACTTATTACTTTACTGATAGTAAAAGGTCTAAGCGATAAAAGAAACTAATATCATTTAGGATATGCTGGTTTTTTAATAGCGCATTATCCGGTCATGTGAGAAATTGAACCAAGTTAACCGAGTCCATATCGATATTAATTTCATGTATCTCATTGTTTACGGCAAACATTAGGTTTAAACCAAACTAGTTAAATTATTCAAATCACTTATAGAGAATAAAAAATGTAACATTTTTATGTAAATTCCTTAAAATACAACAACAATTATATGCATTTACCCTTTGTAATGTTTTATTGGGTTTTCATGAAAGAACAAGATGACTCTTTCATTTTGATGAAATGAAAAAAAAAATGACGAGTTAATCCAAAAACGATAAATGATTTAGCCACATAAATGATAATCCCAAAATGAGTATATCATGTTTGTTGTATTAAAAACAATACAAAAATTGAACGATTACTTCGGGCAAGATGGAATACCATAAATCTAAATGCCCTCAAAAATAGTCAATTAAGACTAATAATTAGATAAGTTACATCACTTAATCTATTAAAAAAATGTGATTTCTCTTACAGATTTTAACATTGCACTAAATAAACCACGTCGTTATTCATTTTTAACCAAAAAGAAACTTCTTTTGAAGGGAGGAAAAAAAAAGGGGGGGACAGTAGATGAAGAAAGAAAGAAAGAAAGAAAACCCTTGCGTTTGAAAGGGAGGGGGAAAAGATCCTAACGGTCACTCCCGCGCTTCCTTTTTAACACAAATCTTAAATCCATTTTCAGTTACTGTATTAAGCCGGGCTTTCCCGAAGAAATCACACTTCGTTCTGATCATTAGCAATAAAATCGCAATGTGTTGGAAATCAAAAGTCGGGATTTATGGAATCGCCGGTAAGTATCTCCGGCTGGTGACAAGCTTTACGAATTAAGGTAATAAAAGTACAATCAAGGTCGTGGGAAAAGGCCAAACAAGAATGTCTGATTTAAGAAAGAGGGGATTATTAGTACAAAGAAAGTAAGTTGAAGAAATTCAACCAGATCTCTTACTTCTACGTTACAGAAACAGGGGAAATCCCTTTGGATCTTTCTGCTTTATAAAACACCTATGACAAAACCCGGAAGGACCCTGTAAGTAAAGGAGCCATGACCATGATGTTAAACTTGAAAGATGAGGAAAAACCCTGATTCAATCTGTTCAACGAAACCAGAAGACATTTCAAGCGACTCAAGGAAGGTGAAGAGCAAGAAAAATCATGGAAATGCTCAAGTTCAAATTGTGAAGTGTGAGTTCCACCAGAACCGAAAAAGTGAAAGTTTACACCAGATGAGTTGGAAGTTCAAGAAATTACAGGGAATCTCAGTCTGTGACTTGTCATAATAGCGACCATCATTCGACATTTTCATACATTAGTTCTAAGTTCATCGGATTTCATTCAGAGTTTCAGACTATTACATTATGTCAGCTCCGTTGCAACTAAACTTTGCACTTCCATTTTTCTGAATGTCTCAGTTACTTTCAATTGGTTTTTTCCAATTTCAACTTTACGTTTATTGAGTGGTCAACATGATAAAGTTTTCATACTACAGCCTACGAAATGCTTGGAACAGGGGAGTGTATAGTGGATAAAGTGCGTAGGATGAAGTGTGAAAGTGAAGCTAAATCACACTGCAAGATGTTTAGTGACTGAAGTTCGCATATTGAAAAAGATAGTGACTACGTTGTTCATTCCATCTGTGATCACTCTTGAGGGGCAACACCAGTAAACATGACATTGAAAATCGAAGGGAAAATTTTTAAAGCTTTATTGATTTCTTCGACAAAGAGTTTCCAACAATGCATTCTGCGGCATCAAGTTAGACTTCTACAGTCACTGTTAAACTCCATGTCAAAGAGTGCCATAATGCACGATGTGATATAAATTACAAGGTGCAACTTCAACCCGATACACTAATTTCGTAACATCCACTGCAGTATGTCCTCGCGAATTGCTCCCCTACGGCCAAATCCACCGTAACTCGCAGCGGCCCCTGGTGGATTATACACACTCAAATGCCGATATTGAGTGTTTATTCCAGCCGGCTTTGTTGTTCGCACCATCTTTGAAATACTAGGAAAGGATTTAGGCCAAATGTTCCTTGACGAGGTAAAGAAATGCCTGTCCGATTCATGGCCCTCGGTTCTCGCTCCATTTCTTTGGACAGTTGTTGTAGTCTTCTGAGATGAGTTGGTAAGTTGCTTTTGTGCAGTTGAGCTCGCAGAATCACCTAGCGAAGGCTTTGGCCGAATCTCAGCAGATGGCTTCATCCTGTCGAGCCATCTCAGTATTCTATTGCCGAGGTTCCGACCAACTTCAAGATCTCTTTCTTGTACATTTCTATGCACTTTGATTGCAACATCAAATACAGCTCTAGTTCGCCTGTCAATAGAACTACTATAAGTTTCTGAAAAGGTGAACTATTATAAGTTAATCATACAAATAATAGGAACAATATTATAATTGATCAGAAATATATTATAATTGATCAGAAAACTTCGAAGCAGCACCATCAACGGAAAAGTAGCACCCGTAAAAAATACGAGTATTAAGAAACAAAATGATGCACTAAGACAAGACGATATATCATGAGATGCCGTAATGACAATCATATGCATTTTTGTGAACGTCTTCAACAAACAGAACTTTCGACTGGCATAGAACTTATGACACTCCAGTAGTAAGGATGCACTTAAGAAGTTCCCAAATGATATGAAATTCCTCAAAAAAGGTAAGATGCCATGTACCAGAAACACTCGATGGATCACACTATGAAACACCTATACTGCCTTTTCCTCTTTTACATCATCGACCTCATTGACGACTTTGCAGCATACAAAATAAAACACTCATCGAGATTGAGGACACTCTTTTAAAGATCAGAAAATCAGTACATAATATCATGCCTTCATGAATAGGTCTTCAAGGCCTTGAAACACCTAAACCAATGTTTTCTGGGTTCTGCCAAAGGGAAGAGAAACTATTAACAGCCCCAGAAGGTTGTTTTCGAACATATTCATATGTAGTAGTGGACACATGCCACTAATTACTAAACAGAAGATACAGATCAAAGGAAAATGTCCATAAAAGGACAAAATTTCATAGGTGCATTCTAATTGTAACATCACGAAATAAATGAATTGATATTAAGTGAGATGTACTTTTTTAATGCTGTAGATAAAAAACAAAAATATCCAAAGGAAATTCCAAATCGCACAGAAGTGAAGTAAATGGTTTTGAACTGCATGGCACCCAAGAGATATCAGCCACTGGCCAATATAATATGCATTAGGATGACTCAATTACAACAATCATTAAAATTTGAACAATGTTTCAAACCAACATGATAGATAGTGGTCAACACAAGAACTTCTTCTGTAAGACATATAATTTGTTAGAAATACCTCACAACCTAAAGATAGGTGATGACAAAGAACGTCACCCAAGTAAAGCTCCAACCAATGAAAAAGTAAAACCAATAACCCCAAGTAGAAACAGTCACAAGGGACAACAAACTGATCTAGAAGATGCATCAATAAAAGACAACAGCAACTACAAGTAAGCACATATCTCACTACATGGGTTCAGCTGTGGTCAGCAACATAAATCATGTTTCACGGTCGAATTCTGTTTCTTTCTTTTGAAAACAATATATGGCCACAGTTATCACACTGCAATCCTCCCTCTTATCCACACTTAAGACTGTAAACATCCCGGTCTGGGACCGATTGTTCCCAGGTGGGCAATGAAGAAACTTCATCATTAAACGACAATAAACAAAAAAAGAATGAGCAACATGTTTTGCCTCTACTCAAAAACATATGCAGCTAGTTATGGATAAAGAATCACAATGCTTCGAATAAGATGATGTACCAGAAGGAAAACTTCAGGAACAAGAAGAATAACATAAAAATCAGTGACTCTAGGCCGACAGGGTGCTTGTGGCTAATGGAATTAGAAAATTCCACAAAAATACGGGCAATGGACAAAGACAATCAAAGCATATAACTTTAATGCAAACTAAATAAACAGGGTGAAAGATTTCATGAAGGGGGTGACTAGAAAATAAAGCAGAGATGAGAACAGAAAACGAGAAGTGGAAAGAACGTTGATGAAGAAAGCATAGCTAAGGCTACAAAATAATCCAAAGCAGTTCCCAATTTTTTATCTTCTTTTGGGATAGTAAAACAAGAGGATGATTCAGAATGGAAAAGGCCATCATAACAAGTACTGTTTATGGCATATTTCCATCATGGCAATCTGTATACATTACATGCAGTGGGTATTCAAAAGAGGCCATTGTAACATTAATAGTTAAGATATATTTTTTCCATGTGATCATGGAGCAAATAACTCCAACAAAATGATGCTACCGTTAACAAAATATGGTAAATGGTTTATTCTATCAGAAAGGAATGGCTGACTGTTTAGAACTGAAGAGGAGATTATAACAACATATTGGCTGATGAAAAGCTTCTCTTGATATAAGGGAAGGAAAGACCGAAAAGCTTAGAGTGATCAATTGAGGCCAACGACCACGTACACAGTGCAGAGTTTTGTTTCAGTGAGAATCTAAGGTCCTAAATCTCTACTAGCTTTTTAAGGAATTCTGCCCTACAGGAATATGGCCCTTTCCCTTCACAGTAAGAGCTTCATTCGTTTGCATCTAAAACCCAAAAATTGACAGTTCTCATACCTCCAGGGGAGAAGTACAGCTTAGGTCTCTATTTACCTCCAAACTTAGATTAACAAAAATAACATAAGCAGGAAAGCAGCTGCCAACAAATCAGCGTGTGCCGTTTGAAGAATCCTGACCAAGAGCGTGTGGTCTGGTACCATTCCATTTTACAGGCAGTTTCATGGGCTTGCTCCACAGATTCCGTGATCTGATGCTTTCTCATACAGGTAAAGAAACACCAGCTTGCTATTTACATCTAAAAAACTTGCAGTTTTGATCACCTAAAGTTTAGAAACTAATGATTCCATGCATAATAACATACCAATCACTATTTACAAGAAAAATCTTCAGCTTGCATGAAACACCACAAAATGAATACAAAAACCACAAAATGCTTCGCATGTTGTCCGTCATTCATTAAGACTCGCAACAGTTTATTCGCCCTTGCATCATCTAACAAATTATACAGTTACCATTCGTGTAGAAACAAGATTCGCTACAAATTCCACCAATTTCATTGATAATCGGCTCTAGCTAAGCATTAAATGACACATACTAATTAGACATAATACGGCACAGTTCAGATTCCGACAGCAACAAGGAAAATAAGCACGCTAATCCATCCAGTTGCAAATTTAAGCCAGACCATTTCACCACCCCGCCAGCAGAAACATCAAACTTTCAATAACTATTAAGTGTAAGCTCATTAAAATTATCAAAAAGGGAGCTCCCATAAACATTAACAACACTAGGACACAATAACATCATCGTTTCCGATTAGTTCTACAGGGAAGAAGAAACCCAACAATAACTACAAGAACCTATAAAAATCGTAAGGATAAGATTCAATCAAATTGCAAAAAGCATCGAAAAGAAAACGTGAAATAAAATAAAATAAAATCTTGCCTGTGAGCAAATTGGCGGATCTTGGTATGCTTGGGGCTAATGAGCTTTCGCTGAATCTTGAGCGCCAATCGGTAAGTTCTCTTGAGACCCAGAAAATAAGCAGTCCCCAATGTCAATTCCCATAACACCATTATATCTTTTCCGGATCAAAATTTCTCAATCAATCTTCCGGCCGCCGGGCAAAATCTGGTCGCATTCATTAATCATTAACATCCAACATAAGAAACACGGAGAGGCGATGGTGGTGGTAAGTCAGGTCGGGGTGGCGGTTTCGTATCTGTCCGAAAGAAAAAATTCAAAGGGTCTGTTTGGATGATGTGTTTTTTTCTCTCTTTTTCACTTTTTATAAATTGATTTCGTTGGCCTCAAGTTACCGATGTTTTTGGCAGCCGCCGGAAAGTTCGATCCTGTGGGTTGTCATAAGTTTCCTTTTAGGGGAACTCTTTCTTTTTTTAAAGGAAAAAAATAATAATAATTGCATTTAAATTTATTAATAATTATCAATTACAGTACTAGGAGTGTCAGATCGGGCGGTTCGGGTGAATTCGGTTCAAATTAATCGGTTTTTTTCAATCACATGAACCGCCCAATTCCGAACTGCAGAAGCTATTAATCCAAACCGAACTGCCCGAATAAGCACTTGGGTTTGGCGGTTCGGTTTCGGTTCAACCGAATTAAGACATTCAATTGTTTTTTTTTTTTGCTCTATTCTAAATTCAGGGCCTGCCCAAGCTTATTGGTAAGTCTTCCATAAAAGACATTCAATATTTCAATTTCAGCACTAAATACAAACTGAAACAGTGAAATTCAGCCTGTACTGATTACTGAGCAAACTTAAATCAGCAAAAAACCCAAAAAAAAAATCACAACTCACAAATTTCAAATGTTCACAACACAAATGTCTCATTAAAGTCCATTACAAGAGTCAACAAATTTAAAAAGTCCATTACAAAAGCCAACAAATTTAAAAAGTTCATTATAAGTCCACAATCCAAACAACTTAAAAACAGAAATTGAAGGATGGTTGAACAGAGTTGAAAATACTGAAAAACACTAAAACAGAGTTCAAGGATCAAGTCTTCACATTTCTACTTCAGACTTGTCTTCACAGTTGAGTTCACAGTTGCACTTCAAATTCAAAAGTAATTGTTTCAGGTCTGCAAATTCAAATTCAAAACTTGAGTTCACAGTTTCACTTCACAGATGAAATATAAATTCAGAAATTCAGAAATTATTCAAGTCAGGATCTCAGTTACCTGTTTCAGTCTGCAATCTAAAAAATTCAGACCACATCCTAGCTCAGTCTAGATTTGGTTCTCCAGTTTCAGCACCTGAGAAAAGAGCCAGAAATGAAGTTAAATAGCTGAAAACATCAAAATGCAAATACTGAAATTCAGAAATACCATTTAGTAATGCAAATACCTTCTTCAATTTTTATGAGATCTTCCCATCTTTCTTCAAAAGCTTCTGAATCTAAATCCACAGCCTCCTTAAACCAATCTTGAGTGCATATTAAGTCTTGAACAGTCTTCGGAGTTAAAGAGCTCCTAAAAGCATCCAAAACCCTCCCATTCGTGCTAAAAACACATTCGGTCGCCACAGTAGATATAGGGACTGCTAAAATATCACGAGCCATCAAAGAAAGGATCGGAAACCTTGGAATGTTAACCTTCGACCAGGTCAGCAAATCAAATGTAGGACAATCTGATTCGGTTGTCTCCCTCAAATACTTCTCCAAATCTGAATTTTCAAGATTTCCACCACTTTCTAAATTTTTCTTCTTCAACAGCTCTGTCCTAAATTGATCCCTAAGCATCTTAGAAGGTTCAATGTCTATCGGAGAAGATCTTTTCCCCAATGCAGCAGATTGAGAAGAACTACTCCCAACAGTGGAAGAAGCTGAACTAAATCTAGAATCAGAGGCATGGATTCTAACATATTCTGTATACAACTCCCTCAAAGAACTTTTAACAAAATCTAGTTTCGTTTTCCCATCAACTTCTCCATACAATTTATCTAGCACAATTTCCATGTAATCAAACTTATTTCTTGGATCCATAATAGATGCCATGTAAAGAACAACATTCATCTTTTCATTTTTTTAAATGCTAGCATAATATTTATCAAACTTGGATTTCATCATAAAAGCCATAGCTTGCTGTTCAGGATCTACAGTTTCATTAATAGTTTTCTTCAACAACACTTCAATGCAAGTAACATTATCAAAAAAAGAATCCGAAGAGATAGATTTGGTACGAGATACCTTCAATGTAATCTCGTAAAAATGTTGAAGAAGACCCGCCACTCTCCTAGCTTCTAACCAATCCAATGCCGTAGGCAGCCAGGCCCTGAATTTTTTGGATCCTCAGGAACATGTTTCAGAGTGTCCCTATAGTGTGGTTCACCTAATTCATACCTCTTAAATGCTCTTTCATAAGCTTGGGCAGTTTCCAACATCAAATATGTGGAATTCCACCTTGTACAAACATCTAAAATCAGATTCTTTGAGCTATTACATTTTTCTATTTCAGCACATTTCCTAAACTTTGCAATTCTTTGAGGGGACTGTCTAATATATTTTATTGCAGCTCTAATTCTTTCAACAGATTTACCAATATGACTCAAACCATCCTTAACAACAAGATTCATTACATGAGCCATACAACGAACATGTAACCATTTTGCACCCAAAAGACATTTTTCACGATGAGCAAACTGTTCTTTCAAATATTCCATAGCAGCATCATTAGCACTTGCATTGTCAACAGAGATAGTGAACACATTTTCAATTTCCCAATCCTCAATTGATGTCCCAATATCAACACCTCTATGACTCGAAATAGGACAGAAACTCAAGATTTTCTTTTTCAGATTCCAACTATTATCAACATAATGGGCAGTAAGACATATATAGTTAATCTGTTACAAAGAAGTCCAAGTATCGGTGGTCAAACAAATTCTACTAACATTCCCCTTGATCTCAAGTTTCAGTTTTTCCTTTTCAGCCAAATACAACTTATAACAATCAGCAGCTACAATCTGTCTACACTTGGGAACAAACAAAGGTTGCAACTTTCGCAGAAAATACCTAAACCCCCTTTTTTTTAACAAACATGAATGGAAGCTCATCGACAATGATCATATAAATAAATGCCCTAGTGATTTCTTCTTCGTTATACTTCCAGCTGGTTATATTAGCTTGTTTTCCATCTTTACTATCAACAATTAACTTACTTTGATCAGGATCATGACTCAAAGCCAAATACTTCTTACAAACCAGCAAATGATACGAGGGTTACTTGTACCATGTTTTCTACTTTCAGCCCTATACTTAGCATCACAATACTTACATGCAGCCCATGCCTCACCTTTTGCATTAGTAAAATCAATGAAATGAGGCCATACCATAGACCTCTTTCGATTTACCCTGCGTTTTCCTGAAGGCTTACAAACAGCTTCAACCGGTGCTGTTCCTTCGACTTCAACATCGATCATGACAGGTTCATCCTCAGGAATACCAGGCAGTATATTCAGAAGCTCCTGATCCTCAAACTCCTGATCATCGATCTCCTTAATGTCATCAACATTATCAGCAACTTGAGACATTTAAAAAACAGGAAAAAATAAAAATTAGTTCACCCATTGACAATGATAGTATACCAAACTGATCCACAAAACTGATCTCTACTGATCAAACTAATCCAAACTGGTCCAAATACAAATTACAGTGTACCAAAATGATTGACAATCATAATTTACCAACCTGATCCACCAAACTGATCCACATAAAAATTTACAGTGTACTAACAAGAATCCAAACACAAACAGTAAAAGGAAAATGGATTATAAATATTTAACAGCAAAACAAGGTTCCTAATCAGAACCACAAAGGTTTACATCATTATAACAAATAGGATCTCAGTTTTCAGTTTGAATAATGGAACATGCACGATCAATTGCATATCAACTTAGTTACACTCGAATCTCTAAGACTAAGATTTTTTTTTTTTGGTTAAAAATATCCATAGCATGAGGCTACCTACTTTGATAATTACATAGCCTACTTTCTACAAAATCCTGCTCAAAGAACAGGGAGAGATAGCTTGGGGCTACATCAAAAAAATATATGCCCCTATTGGAGTTTAAGGCCTCTTTTGCTAATGCATCCGCACAAAGGTTGTTGTTGTTGAAGGTATGAGAAAAACATACTTCCCAATCATTTGCCAAAAGTTCCTGAATTCGTCGTAATTCAGGATCTAATAACCTCCCCTCTTCCCGGTTTAGCACTAAATCTAGCGCCGGTTGGGAGTCTGATTCAACAAGGACTCTAGACCATCCCCATTGTTTTGCTACCTCAAGACTTCGCCGAATAGCAGTAATTTCGGCAGTCTCCACTAAGCACACACCAATGTTTTCCTGGAAAGCTGTCAAAAACTCCCCTTGATCATTCCGAGCAATGCCACCTACAGCTCCTATTTTGGTTTCCCTGCAGACAGCTCCATCGCAGTTGAGTTTAACCCAATTGGTGGGTGGTAATTTCCATCCTGATGCCTCTTCTCTACTGACGGCAGTCCTCGTTCGTCTAAGTATCCTTTCACCATTAATTATTTCCTCTGTTTTGTAGTGAATGATCCTCACTGCCTCATTAACATCCCACTCCTCTTCATTGAAAATATTATTATTCCTCCAGGTCCACACAAGCCAACTAGTAACTCCAAATTTGGTCCTCCATGACATGCTTTTAGAGCTTAAGTTAGAGATTAGCCCATCCTTGAGTGGAGAGGTGAAAAAATTATGTCGATGATGCGCCGGAATTATGGCCTCCCGAATCGCTCTCCTACTATTGCAATCTCTTAGAGCATGTAGTGTTGACTCATTTCCCCCGTTGCAGCAACTGCACATTTCGGTCTCTGTTATCCCTCTGTGCCTGCATAGCTCATTTGTAGCCAATCGGTCATGGAAAGCCAACCAAAGGAAGCATTTGATTCTCTGAGGCCCCTTCCATGTCCATACTTTGCTCCATCTTCTGTCATCCTGCAGGTTAGCATCGTCAATAGCCAAATAGTATGCTGATTTTACAGAGAACTTACCAGACCTGCCAAACATCCATTGTGGTTTGTCCTATCCCAAGGCCGCCATAGGAGGTGGAAGGCTGCATATCTTTCTGATTACCTCATGTGGAAGAAACCTAGAAAATTTGGCCAGATCCCAATTGCCATCCTCCAACACATAATCAGGTACTGTTTTTTTGTACTCCTCTTCAGAAATAGGGGAAATTGCGTGGTCTGAGAGTTTTGCATAACCCTCTACCCAATTGTCCCCCAAAACAAAACAGATTCTCCATTCCCTACTGCCCAGGAGGTTCCCTTCTCCACTAAGTGATATACATCACATATTGCCTTCCAAGTTGGGGAGGCATTCTTTTTCCTTATCAACTGCAGTCCCGTTTGAGAAGATTTACAATATTTAGCCCTCAAAATTTGTACCCATAGTTCATCTCTTTTCGCCAATATTTCCCAACCCAATTTCATTAGGAAAGCCATGTTATTTTCACGAGCTTTTCTCAGTCCCAACCCTCCTTTCTCCTTACTCTTACATACCGTATCCCAGTTTACCAAGTGAAGTTTCTTCTTTTCTGCTGTAGAACCCCAAACAAACCCCCTCACTAATTTATCAATCTCATCGCACACATATACCGGGAGCTTAGTTGACTGCATTTGGAACATAGGAACTGCCTGAAGGACTGATTTTGCTAAAGTGATCCTTCCCACCTTTGATAATTGGTTCGCCTTCCATCCTGAGAGTTTTTTTCACACCTTATCTAGGATCTCCTCGTAAGTGGACTTATTTACTCTTACGTGTAAAACTGGGGAGCCCAGATATTTGCCCAAATTGCTGGTCATGCCGAAACCTAAGCCATTACAGATAGAATTCCGTAACTGGTGTGGAGTGTTCTTGGAGAAGTAGACTTTGGTTTTCTGGGCATTTACCTTCTCCCCAGAGGACCTGCAAAATGAGTTTAGCACTTTGTTAATCACCTGCACTTGATCCAAAGATGCTTCTGAAAACAAGAATAAGTCATCGGCAAAAAACAGGTGGGACAATAAAGGGCCATTTCTACTCAGTCTGATTCCTTTCCACACTTTTTTATCAACTGCAAAAATAATACCATGAGCTAATAATTCCAAACATAAAACAAAAAGATAAGGAGATAGAGAGTCTCCTGTCTAATTCCCCTTGTTGGTTGAAAGTTGTCTGTGACACCTCCATTCCAAAGAACCCTCATATTGGGTGATGAGATACAGTTCACAATCAGGTTCACTAGGTCATTTGGAAACCTTGCCGCCTTAAGTGAAGATTCGATGAAGTCCCATCGCAGCATGTCGTAGGCTTTCTCCAGGTCAATCTCTAAGACTAAGATTTTAATTGAGCAACAACCATCCCAAACTCTATCTGAATTATCATTCCTATTGAAAGCCTAACATGCAATCATATTTCAAAAGCACTTTTCACATAATTGAACCAATACATTAAGAACAACCAGCAATGCAGCAACCATATTTCTTCCCCCTCTATCCTAGACAGAGACATTAAGAAACCAAAGTATAAAAAGGGCTACTTTTTTAAGATTAAGCAAGCTACAGAAGATCCATCATCACATTCCATTCCAGTATTCCACTTTGATAACAAAGCAATCAAGCAATTAAGGCAGTGGGAAAGTTACGTAAAATTAAACTAGAACAACATAAAGAAGATCCATATCAACAATTTCAATTCAACTTGGAAGCTAAACAGAGCCATTCCCAAACATCAAAACGAGACATATAATTGCATAATGCAGAAGGCGGCGGTTGCTTGAAACAGAAAACCCAATTCCAGAAATCGACTTAAACATTGAAAGAAATCCAAAAACGATTAACTCCCAAATTCAAAACAGACTAACAGAGAACCCCGAATCAGTGAGAAGAAATCATGAGACAAAAAAAAAAACTCAAGAAACACTCCAATGACTAAAAAAAAATCAGAGAATTCCGACCAAACAAAGAACCCATAATTATTTTATTTAAGGGAAAAAAACAAATAAACAGAACACAAATAAGGATAGAAGTAACTTAGAGCATGCAAAATGGGCAAAAAAAGGAGTAGATCGGAAAGAAAAACAAGGTAAACGAGTCATAAAAGCTAGATCGGAATGAGTAATAATAGATCTGAGTTTGAAGTTTTCTTACCATTCTGGTGGTATCGACTGACGGACTGAGGGGGTGACCGGACACCGGAGTGTTCTATGTGTGAAAATCGGAATGAGGAAGGACCAGATCTGTAAACTGCGTGAGTAACCGGAACCGGGGGGAGGAAGTGAATTTGTGTCTTTGTGAACTAAAAGGGACAAAGGATTGCTTTGATTTACAGGAGGACGACTGGCTTAATGATCAGCCGGATTGGTTACAGACGATGACCGGCAAAATTATCGGTCAAAAAATGACAGATTCGCCGGTGAAAAAAATCGGGGTGAAGGAGCTGGAGGGCGGTGGTGCGTCTACGCAGCTGCGGCCGAAAAAATAAGGAAGAGAAAGAAATGAAACCCTAACATTTTGACTTATATACTTATTTAAAAAATAAATTAAATAAAACCCTAAATCGGGTATCGGGCGGTGCCCGAAAAAAATTATATACGCCCGCACCCGAACCGCAAACTGTATGTGGTTGAACGGTTGAATCCGCATTACCCGATTTAACCCGATTAACCGACCCATTTCTTCTCAATCGGGTTCGGTGCGGGTGGATAATCGGGTTGACCCGCTTAGCTGACAGCTTTATACAGTACTCTCTTTGTCCTAAAGAAATAATTCATTTTGTTGAGAAATACAGTAGTTTATTTTATTGGATTAAAATGATAAAATTACGTTAACTATTTTTGTATAATGCTATGGACTAAATTATTTTTGGAATGGATGAAATAGTTCAAAGTTGAATTCACTAGTCCTAAGAAAAACACTTAAAACGCAATTCGTGTCACACATATTAATAATAATTATAATCATGCCAAATTTATCAGCACAAGAGATATCGAAAGAGATACCATTGTAGATGCATGTATTATTATGTCACTTCGTAGTCATACTCTAATGAACTTTTAACACGATTACGTTAAAAACTTCCAATTTTAATGTGGGCTTCCCTTTAAAATCCATGTGAATATGCTTCATTCCTTTTCACAGATTCAGTAGCTAGTGGTATATACTATATATATATACTATATTCTGCCCTGCTATACAGAGACGTCATTGGCAGATTGTGTAATTACATTCAACTATTGAAGATGGTATGAGTTCAACATAGAAACAATGGACCCTAAGCCTGTTGAATGAATTGCAAAAGAAATTGTGTATTTAGAAAGCCCATGAGTAGTTTAGTGGGCTTTAATTTGGGAATTGAAAGTACTATTTTGTAGGTATGTATAATGGATGGGTGGCTTCATGACAGTATGCAATAGAAAGTTTAGGCCATTGTCCACTTTGAAATAATAAAAAATATTTCACGCTATGAAGATAACGTTTACTGACTTGACTCATGACCTTGAGTCGAGGGATGATCTTATTGTGGACTTTAAATGTATTGCTTGTATGACAAGTGACAATTAGAAGAAATAAACGAGGTTGACAATCTATTCATCGCAATGTTTGTAAAAATAATATTGATTAGTGTAAAATTAATCAAAGTACCAACATATAAAATTGAACATCTAATCACACTTATGAATATTACTTTTATACGTAGATATTGCAACTTAATTTGGATTATAAGTTACTTTCTCTGTTCCAAAATTATTTTTTTGTTTGGATTTTCACTTTTAGTCTAATTTATACTACAAGTGAAATCTCAAACTGGATAATTATTTTGACAAGAATGAATACTTTTTACATGTAAAATTGGAAGAGGAATATTAGATGTGATTTAGAAAACGTCCAAATGACCTATTGGCACATAAGCTCAACTGGACCTGCACTGCCCTAGTAAGCACGAAAAATAAAGTAAAGAAAAGTGGATTGTCCGATTAATTTACTTCATCTTCCAGCATAAGATACCAAAAAGTATATTAATGACTCATTTCCTATCCCCCACTCAATCAAAGTCCCTCATGGTCCCCTGGGCTGCATCATCGGAATTAGTATATCTGTGATTGATGGTTAGCAATTCTTTTCTTTAATATAGAAAATCATTTTCTCAATTGCAATAGTAATTAAAACGTTGATAGAAGCGGTAAAAATACATGTAAAGTATTATAATCCTCTATTTTGTTAGTGCTTTTCCCCATAAAATTTTCTTTTTTTCCTTAAAATTATGTTCACTACTTTTATTAGATACACATCATCTATTATGAATTTTCACTGTATTATTTTCACTCCTTCTACCAATGTTAGTAAAACTATCCCAAAGACATCTTGCAAGCAACAACAACTCCATCTCAATTTATTTATTACTCCTTCCGGTATTTATTATAAGCCATTTTAATTTCATTCTAAGTTTCACCTAATATAACTTTTTAATTAAAATAAAAATTTTAAAAATATTTTATAATAATTAAAAGAACACAATAAATATTAATATTTATTTTTAAGATTTTTCAATTAAAAAAATATTCTAAATTAAACCTAAAATAAAATTAAAATGTCTTAGTAATAAGGTACGGAGGGAGTATTATAATTCTATCCAAAAAAAAGGAAAAGAAAAAGAAAGGCAACAAAACCCCTCCTCCTCTGTTCCACACTAATAACAATCATTTCCTCTCCCCAAGTCTTCTTCCTCACTCACACAGTAACACACACAGCTGTCATCTTTTTTATCATTTAGCTCAAACAAATTCTTCTGTTCCTTGTCCTCCCAACATGCAGAGGCAGTCACTGGGCTCACCAGCAGCAAAGCTCAACATCAATGGAGTCATCACCATCTCCACCAGAGAATCTTCCTCCTCCTCCTGTTCTTCCCCATTATCCGTATCTTCATCAACCACAAAAGCATCTCCTCAGAAGAAACTACTTCTGCCCTGTAATGATGAAGAAGATGGAAAGTCTCCCAAGAAATTCCACCACAAATCGGCATCACCGTTTGGACATCCTGAGAAGTTCATTCATCTCATCCCTTTGCTCACTCTGTTCTGCATCCTCGTACTTTACCTCTTCTCTCACAGCCCATCTCAGACTGGTAATTTAATTGAATCAACCCATATATTCTTTTTCAGTAATTTCTTCGTTTGATGATGAATTTATCTCTCTGGGTTTCAGAATTAGCTCACTTTAATGGGTTCAACTTCAACGCTCTGTCGAATTCAATAGGTAAAAATTACATCCCGTTGACTTTTGCTCGTCCTTTCAAATTTTCATTTTTGCATCATAGTTTTCAATTATTGATAACCCTCTTTTGTGTTTCCAGATTCAACGAACATGGACGAATTATTAGAAACTGGGAAAAAAGGCGAGGTTTTGGCGATTCGGAGCGCGCGGAATCTGCAGGGACTGGATAAGGAAATTTCGAAATCCAAATTAAACAGAAAAATCGGCGACTTTCGGTTGTTGCGGTAATCAAAAATCCCTGTTTCCTGGGTGGGCTGTTTTTCTTTCTTATCATTATCATCATTCAAAAGCGTGGTTGCGGTTATGGCTTCCTCCACTCCGAGTTGACTCAGTCGGTGGGTAACCGTTGAGTTTAATATCAGCTGGAAAAAAAATACGTCCTTCTTTTTAATTTTTTTTTTTATTTTTTACCATTTGGCGTGCACGTGAATATATATATATATTCTTCGAGTTGTTTTGTTGGGGGATGAATTTTTGCACCTTTGCTGCAATATCTCTATATCAACCCCCACTGTAAAAAATAAAAATGGAAAGGAAATTTACTGTTGCCAAATTCCGTCTATGACTCTCTCATACTATGTCTATCACTGTTTTATCAGGGAAACTGTAAATAATATGCATTTGAGCCGTTTGGTATCTTTCGGAAAAGTATTACTACTTCCGTCCCACGAAAATAATTTACATCGAGTTTTTAAAACAGTATAAACTTGAAAACTTGACGTATATTATTTTTGTCGGACGAAAGTAACACGTGTTTATACCGGTATTCATTAGTTCATTTTGAATGGATGGCTAGAGATATTTAGATGGTTGGTGGTGATGCATACTACTAGTCTACTACTAGTGATGGGGTCGGGGTAAATGGGAAATTTTTACCGATATGTGATTTACCTCAAGTTTTAGGGGTTAAAGGAGTTGTTAAATGTGGATAAAGTAGTAGTAGTAGTAAGTGGAGGTGCCAGTTTCCAACTTCCAAGAGTGCGCCAGAAGACTGCTGAAAAACCAGCTGGAAAAGGAGAAAAAAAAAAAGAAAATGCTACTACTAGTAATGACCGTTACTGTAAAGCCTCGGGTTCCGGTTTGATATTTGACAGCTGGAATCTAACTGTTTTCCACATGGATATTTTTTTTTTTTTCCTTTCTTCTTCACCTTTTCCAAGTCCCATTGTAGCAGTAGAGAGATTAGAGACACTCTACTACTTTATGAAAAATATGCATTATTCTTTTTGTTTTAATGTAATAATGATTCAATTTTGAATTTTTTCTCTTAATAAAATGTAATAAAACTTGAATAATCAAAATCATAAAAGTGTTACTACACATGGATGATGGATCCAATGAGGATATGTACCACGGCTATGTCCTAACCTAAAAGTTCAATCCTATCTAAAGAGTGGGGTGAAATAAATGGGTAAAACTAAAAGGCCCATTTGGACCCACCCGCTCCTCCATATTAATTCAATCATGCCTGTCTCAGGATTGACGTTTATTCAATAATGTTTTTTGACAATAGTTTTCGGAAAATATTTTCATTTGATTAAGGTTTAACTAAAAAGTTGCATCTCCAACATGCTGATTCCAAATTGTATTATAGGAATTAAAAACTCTGTATAAAGGTTTAGTTAAACTTAAATTAGATGATGTTCAAGCAACATGTCAAATAACTCAAATGTGATTTAATTGTAATAAAACAAAATAATTTTTTTTTTAAATTTAAAAAAAAAAAGAAGAACAAAGCTTCTAATATTCTCGAGTGATCGAGATAGTTAATCCGTCTTGCAATAGCCAATAAGCAAAAACACACCAGTCATTGGCTTCCTTCTGGCTGAGGTAGGATAATACAGAAAATTCAACACTGAAGAAGATAAGTGATGGAATTATTTGACAAACAAATGAATGAATCAATCATACTTGATTGCTTCCAAAAGTTAATGACTGAGGTCCGAGGAGAGACAACTTAATCAAGAAGCTACCCTACAGGGTTCTTCTAATAGTAGTAACACGTCACTACAAGCATTCGGATAGCAAACAATATTACTCCCTCCGTTACATAATTATTGTCCAGTTTGAGATTTCATTTCTAGTTCAAATTGTACTAGAAGTGAAATCTCAAATTGGACAATAATTTTGAAACAGAGGGAGTATTATCAAAGCTCATCAGTTAGGTAGCCTACGGTATGTATCCAGAACATTGACCCAAAATGAACAAATCAATGATGTAAAAGTTTGGCAAATATGGTAGTCTCTTCCTTTAGTAGTAGCGTCTTAAGATGCCTCTGTAACATGTATCAAGTTCTTCCTCCTAACACTTCATAAATCCAGCCGGTTACTGAACCCTAGCGTTTCTACCAACATTGTTTGACAGGTTTCTGGGAGGAGTCTAAAATTGAACCTTTGGTAGTTTATCAGAACTTCTGGACAAAAATGGTGCTAATGTAACAAAACAATCGCTCAAATTATAAAGTTGTGAGACCTCAAGACGAGACAGCCAGAGCCAAAAACGCGGGAAAGAAAACTGAGGAAGGAGGCAAAAAAAAAAAAAAAAAAACAGCAAATAAGCAAGAACTAGCTCCTTAATCATTTCGACATAGTGCCAAAATGACTTGGATCAACCTGATAGTAGAACATATTTTAACCGACAGAGTTCAAGCCACAACCTTTGGGACCAAATCTAAGGTGATCACTGTAATTGTGTGTTTCAAATCGGAATAGCTAATGTACACATTCTAAATTTTCCCACATTATATCACTTAGCCAAATCAGAACTGTAACACCAAAATTTTACATATGCATCCACATAACAGAAAGTCACAGGATAAGACCTTCAGCTGGTGCTGGCTTAGAAGGCTTGTGCTCACTTGACTCAGAGGCTTTGGGTGACTCAGATAAGTGAACTTGAGCATAGTCGTCCACCATCTTCCTTCGCTGTTCATCTTCAGCCATTCCTACTTTTTCTTTAGTCTTTTGGCCTACTTCCCCTGCAGCCTTAGCAACTTTATTCAGCGCACCAGTGGCCCAAGAAACCCCTGAGAAGACATACCGATTCTTCATAATGGCGGAACCAGCATTACTAACTGTTTGCTCAGCAGCGGCAAAAGCGGATTTTGCCTTCTCCGAAACCTGGAGTTTCTGATCCACCTCACGGACTTTGTCATTCACAATGGATGTACCAATACTTATCTTCTCAGTCAGCCCAATTTTCTTATCCAAAGAAGAAACTTTGGCAGTTGCCGTTGAAGTCAACTGGTGCTTTTCATCCAATGCTTTGGCTTTGTTGAGAGCATCTTTCCCTAGGACAAAACCTTTTGCCAGCATGCCAGTAACAACATCCTCGGCTTTCCTGAAAGCCGATTCTGCACCACCAGCGTTTTTGCTTTCCACCTGCAATAGCAATATTCAGCAATCAAGTATTCCAACTACCTTGAACTATCTGTTACTTCCACAAACTATCTCAGTAAATTCTCACCGTGGGTGGGGCAAAAGCAGCAGCCGGAAGCTGGTAATCTGGTTCTGGAGTAATAGTGACAGACATATCAACTATTGTTGCACCCTGGGACCAAAATCAAACTATTAGAACAACTTCTTTCTGGGGAGGGCAATCTGGTGTAAGTACAAGTTGCACCATCTCAAACATTTTGCCGTGCTGTATAAAAAGTAACCAGGCAGAACAAAATGATACCAAGCACAAAGAAAAAGATTGAGTACAGACCCCTCTTCTGAAAAATTGAAATGAGATGGAAACTTTCAAAAACACCAGTTCTTGCGAGAAGTCATTCTACTAAGAAATTCCCAACAAACTAATCTATACAATCCTAAAGTTTGCACGTGATACCAAAAGTTGGCAAACCGAGAGCCAAGTACTCAAATTCCAGTCTTTCTCCGAAGTGAATTGTCTAGAAGTGTGATAACTGGTGAAGAAAAACCATCCTTCTAGCCTCCCCCCCTCCTCTCTCTCCCTTCCCAGGGCCCTGGCCTCACCCCAGCAAAGAGAGGAAAAGAATACAATCAAATGGATCACTGAATGTTGCCTGAGCTTACTAGAAGCAACATGATCAGAGGAAAATACAACCAGATACAGGAATCCAAAATAAAAAAGCCGTAGCACAACACGTGTAATTTCAATAGTTACACATCCAAAACCAAACTTCTGAATGTTACAGACACAGGCTTATTTTCATCACTAAAGACAAAGCTAGGTCAAAAATGCACATAACCGTAGCCAATACAAGCATACAGATAGGATTAGAATACATATTCTATAAAAACAATGGTAAGAATCTGCATAACTGTTTAACAGTGAGTTTAATAGATGCTAGAGAACATACTTCATTACTACATCATTACTACATCAGCATCTCTAGCTCACTTTAGAAAAAAAATTCAGAAATCATAACCACTGGTGTTTCCAAGATCCCACGGAGGAAATCTACAACAGGTTCAGTTGTCTACTTCTGAAGGACACCAAGGGATTTTAATATATGCTACAGAACACACATAATTCCTACATCAGGATCCGTAGATTACTCTAGAAAAATTCTTAGACATCATAACCATATTGTGTTTTCAAGATCCAACAGAAGAAATCTTCAAAAGGTTTGATTGTCTACTTCCGAAGGACACTAAGGGATGATATAAGTCCAAACATTAATTTCATTTCCTGGATACTGTGCTGGTTCAACAGTAGCCAAGGACAACTAGGAACAAGCATCCAGAGAGACATAGCTAGATTATTTTAATAACCCAGATTGCAAAAAAAAAGAATTTAGGATACACAATCACATCCAAGTTTTCAGCACACACCAATGAGCAATAAATAATACAAGAGAATGATATGTCATTTAAAAAAACGTCAAATAAAAGATACCGATGAAACAGCCAAATGACAATGAAAAAAAGTACATGGAGTTGCCCAAATAACAAAATCCAGGATTAAACACATTGATTCAATCCAGCGATCTAAAATTTATGAGAATCCCCTCCCTAAACTGCCCCGGCTAATGCTACATCACACATCATTGAACAGAGAACCAATCATAGAACGAGAATCATTTAAGACATCATACCATCAAAAGCAGAAACTCATAGAGCAAAAAAAAAAAAAGATAAGAGAAGCAAAATCACCGAAAGAAGAATTGCAGTCTCAGCTCCCTGTGAATCCTTGAAAGTCACATATGCAATTTGAGACCGTTCAGTAGCACTACATTCCATCAGATATTATTAGCATCAACAAAATCAATAAAGGAACTTCAAAGCAAGACAAATCTGTATGACCCTAACTAACCTTTGCATCTCAACATATTCAATATCACCAGAGAAGGAGAAAAACTCCTTGAGATCCCGCTCAGTTGCTCCCAAGGAGACATTGCTAACCTTAACAGTTCTTACCTGCAAAAGAAACCCAGTTTGAAACACTTAAGATATGTAAAAAAGAAGAATTCACCCTCAAACGAAAAGAAATAGTACATGGACCCTTAACAAGTCATCTCACCATTCAGTACAGCATAGGCAGTAATTATTCAATAAGGAGGTATAAAATTCTTTTAGCCATGTACAAATTTTTCATAAGCACGAACTGCCTAGTCATCCGGACACAAAGAACAACAACTTCAACTTGTGAGAACAATCACCTCATTTCACTCACAACGCATTACCGTACCAATTATCCTACAAAGGTATACTCAACCTAATAATGAAACTCAATACGAATTCACACCGCGAAATGCCCTCAAATAATAATATGAAAAAACAAATCTTCTTCCCTTTCAGCTTAAATGAAATGTGATTGATGAAATTGTATTCTCATCTATGATACATGATTCACTTTATCAATTTACTAAAAGTACTCCATCACTCCTTCCCATTTGTAGTTTTAACTTTTTATATTCCAGGTTAGAGCACGTATTGACAGCACTACACGTATTTGCTCTCTCCTCTTCCCCTTTCTGAAAATACCAACACACTCAATCACACTACATGAACTAAATCAACTGAAATACAATGAATCAATGAACGATCTTCAACAATAAACACAACCATAAAAAAATTAATCGATTAATCAACCAATTACAACAAAAGTTTCATTGCAAAGACTCCACAGAACTTCTACAAAACCATATTCTAACACGATTCCACAAAAACCAATATAGCGCTACAACACACCGAATACGCACAGGTCGGCAAAACACAATATATAAGATCTTCAAAAACGGAAATGCGGCTTTCAAATAACTCAAAACAAAATCACCGCTAACGAATACAAAGAACGTCCGATTCACAACAATCGGTCATACGAATGACGAACACAAATTCAAACGCGCGTATAGAAAAAGCAGAGCGAAGAGATTTTGATAATACGCACCGACATCGCAATCCGCGGAATGAGAGATCAGGAACCGAGATGAAGTCTTGATTAGGGTTTTTCTCTGAATAAAGGGAGGGGGAAGATATACGAGTTCAGTTAATCGAGGATTTGATGAATGAGGAGGGGGAAGAGGTTTTAGGGAGGAACCGGCGAGAGGTTAACGGCGTTGACGTGGGGTAACGTGAAATCTGCGCCAAAATTATTTATTTATTATTTATTTATTTTTATACATAATTAATTTCTTGTGCAGGCCGACACGTTTTTGTAGAGTGGGACTGGGATCGTGTTTTCCATTTCATAGTACTGATTTTGGGCTTTATATTGGAAAGCTACTGTATTCTTCTGTACATAATCTTCCCCCGTGACTTTTGTGGCTTCCGGGCCTTGTAATTCACACAATATACTTGGAACTTGTGATCTTAAATTATCTTATAGATTTTGTTAGGCAATTTTTTTTTTTTTTTGAACGTATAATGAATGAAAGAGGGAGTATAAGAGTTAGAAATTAAAAATGCCATGTGAATAAAAAAAAATGCAGACTACATCGTATTTTAATTTTTGAAAAATTTACTGTATACAGTTGAAATGCAGACTACATCGTATTTTAATTTTTGAAAAATTTACTGTATACAGTTGAAAGAGATATTGAAATCTTTTAGAACTCGAAAAAGTAACCACCGTCGCACGATTCGTTACAGAATTAACATTACGATATGTATCAAATCAACAATTCAATGTAAGTTTAGAAATTCAGGAATACCACGAGACACAAGCTAAACATCCATGAATCTCCAAGTATTTAGACAATCCTTATTTAACAAGCTAACCTAAATGAAACGAAAAACAAATATCTACTGTGAATCCACAAATCAACATTCTGCTGATTGTTTACATTCCTTTTGTATAGTTTATGTTGTTTTTCTTTCTGATTTTATACACTTGTTCACACCTTAATATCCCTTTTTCAAAATTTTAATTAAAAAAAAATCTGAAAAAGAAGCTTCCATACATAGCCAAATCAAAGTCCTTTGTTGATTGCCATTCTTGGAGAAATATCCACCATTTGAAAATATAACATTTATTTACCAAATTAAAAAAAAAAAAAACAGAACATTGGGTTGTATCCAAAAAAAAGGGGAAAAAAAGAGTACGAGTCACATTGTCATTACATTACACTATCACAGTGATAATCGTGTAAATTATGTTAAAACATAAAGTGACGTCTTTTCTTTTCTTTTTTTTTTGGGAAAATATAAAGTGACGTCTATAGTTTACTACTTGTGCTAAAACCTTGAAACAATTTGTTCTTGAAGATTCCTTTAAATTCTTCATATTTTATGTGTTAACTGACACATACCGAAAAGCCAGCTAAAATGTGTATGATTAAAGTCACTTAATCTAAATAAAAATGGATCGTTTCAGTCCCGTTTTAGTGAATTGAGAAACAAATAAAAACTTTAATAATAGAAGAACTCTCTCTCGCTAGCTTGGAAATTCAATGGGTAATTGTCTGGATTTTCATTTCCTAGTAAATGTATACTCATAATTTAAATTATAATAATGATTAGTTTGTGTTATGGTTTAAAGACACCATTTTCATTTGCATTTTTTTTTTGTTGGTTTTGTTAACTAGGCATCATTTTCATTCTCTTAAATACTAGTACTCACGTAGTGCGGTCATTTAATAGCCCAGTATATATCATACGCGTATCAACAATTTTTTTTTCATAAAATGTTTCTTGCCTATTATTGATAGCACAACCTTGAAACTATTGCAACTCAGTGTTTAATAATAATGGACGTTGAATGCTGAAATGGTGTGCTTTTTGGACGTCATCTTACATTTCATTTTGTCACTTAAAAGTGAAAAATGTTTCAAGTTGAAAATTAAATAAGAAATAAAAATATTGTTTGGATGGTATTTTGAGCAAAAAGTTGTTTGGATGTTGGTTTTTAAAAAAATATTTTGAACTATATTTTGAAAATATCAATTACGAGTCATCACTAAATAATTAAATACTGTCAATTATATTCATAGCAAAAAAGAACTTTTTCAAAAACAATCACTCAATAACGGAATCCTGCCAAATCTGTCGCTGAACCATTTATAGTTCTGAAATGGTCATTGCACTAACAAAAAGTGCTTTAAGTTGGAATTTAAAATGTAAATCAGAAAGTTGTTTGGATGATGTTTTCTTTTCATTGAGTTTTGTATTTAAGAGGTAAAATGAGTTAAAATGTAAAATGCGTACTTGTCCAAACAAAGTCTTTTGTGAGATCTGAATGAATGAATGTAATATTCAGTTTGAAAACATGTATGATTCCAAGAAACGACTAAACATGTTTATCTTTCTCAAAATGCTTTATTTTTTTTTTTTGATGATGAATAATAAATAATGAAATCTTTTAAATATCTATTATACTTACTTAAAGCTATATACAAGAAGGACATGTTTAAACTCCACGTTGAAAATTTTCCCGTCAAAGACCCTTTGTTAGTATAAAATGATTTCTGCCACGTGGCACTATAAATGTTCAACAAAAAATAGGTTTGTTAAAAATTTTATTATAATGCATAAATAAATAAATCAACGAAACGAACGATTCCTCAATTTTAGCTTCGGCGTCCCCAATTTCATATAACTGCTCCTCAGTTTTAGCTCCCAAATTATAGCAAGAATTCAAATTTTGAGCTTTTTCCATGGCAGAATCAAATCCCAAATTTCAATAAAGATCGATTTTTCTTGAAATTCAACTTTCACAACTGAAAAGAAGAAGAATTCGGAATCCCCCTTTGTTCCTAATTTCTCCTTTTAAATTTACAATGTCATATAAAAGCTTCAAGGCACACATTTCCTCAGAAACTCGATCAAGTTACGAATAGTAATAGTCGAGGTTGTTAGATTAGGGTTTATCATTATGTTACAAGGATTTTTTTTCGAAAAACAATTTATTATTTTTTCATTTTTTTGAAAGAATCTCTTTTCTTCTTCGAACTTCGGCCGCCATTACCTTTCTGTTGCCGACGCCGCTGATGCTCGGATTTTTATCGATAATGCATCAAATTCAACAATCTTGAGCCAGAATCCTCCTCATCGTTATATTTCATTACCCCTTGAATTATTTTTGTTTCTTTTATACTGAAAATTGGCTGTTACAGTTGTAGTTCTTTTTAGAAAAATACAATAGAGAGTTTCAGAGCCCAAATCAGAGCGGGTTTGATAGCCGCTGCTGCCTCTATTTTTTTCTTATTGTCTTTGTCCTTTTATGATCTTGATTGACGGCGGCCAACCGTGGGACTTGATTCAGTTGGGTTTCGGTGGAATTTAGTGCAGTTGATTTTTCTATATTCAATTTCGAAATTTTGATTTATCCAAAGAGTTCTTGATTTTGGATTTCGCTATTTTTGGTGGTTGCTTTTTCTGGAGGAGTTTTCTTGGTGAAGCAATTGGTTTTTGGCCATATTACGTGGTTGATTCCCCCCCCCTCCCCCTAATTCTGGTGTAGTTATTCCTGGTGCATCAATTGACTTTTCGCCCCATTTGTAGCTGATTTCCGCCTGAAAATGTATGCGGAGGAAAAGTCAAATATCATTCTCGGACGGGATATACTAATGTGAATCGAGAGTCGGTCTGTGTTGTGTGGTCAAGTCGAGATTCAGTATGTATTGTGTGGTCAAGGCGCTACAGCTTTGTTGATCATGATTCACATTCGTCGACGTCATCATCTGCATTAATTTTGTCGAAGGTATACTTACTTTTGCCTTTTCCAATTGGAATATATTTGTTGTCGATTTTATGGTCGAATTTAAATCTTTAGTGTAATTTTGCAGGTAGGTTCATCGGGTTGTTTAAAGGATTAAAGTATGTTAATCGGCATCGACATCAGCATCAAAATAGCATGTTAAAGTAAGAGGATTCAATCAGTATTTCAATTTTTAAAGTCCATATGATGCTTGGAGAAGTAAGAGAATTCAGTTAGTACTTTGATTGTCAATTCTCATGTGATGCCTGGAGCAATAGAATTTTCCTTTAATTTTTTTTTTTTTTTTGGTATATTGCAGCCTCCTCTCCTGAACTTTTTTCCAAAGTGTTATTAACTCTATAAGGAAATGATTCAAGAACTGGGTCATGCTCCCGCCTCCCAAATTAATTTATATTGTTGGGTAAAGTACTTTTGTTGTATAATATTCAGAGAACACCACCAATTTCGATGACAACTAACAGTAACAACCTCGGATACTTCAGTTCGTGTTACAAAAAAGATCAAAGGTAACCAGTGAACTACCGCATATTTTATAAAATTGGGGTGTTTGTTATTACCTTTTCATTGTAATTTATTGTGCATAGGATCATTTCTTTTTCATGTTGTATGTAGAATAAAAATGATCGGCGAGTTGTAGCAGTTGACTGACTTTAGTAGTGCAGAAACTTTCATTTGAATTACTGCATGATTTTCAGACCTATTTTTCCTTCACTTCATCTGTTTAATGGATTTGGTTTCAAAAACTACAGGTTACACTCAGCTAGACATCTTTTGGATGTATGCTTGAGCAGTGTGGGATAGGTCATTTAGACCCACAAAAAGCTTACCACTTCCTCGATGGATATCCATTTCAACTGCAAAATCATAGGTATACAAAATTGTTTGGTATGTGAATGCTTTAGCTCTTTCTCGGATAAGAATTTTATTTATGCCTGTGGAATGGCTGAAGAGTGAAGATCTTTATTAATGGTTAATTTTGGCAAGGAATTCGAAGTGGGTTGAGACAATGAAATAGTACGTAACAAGAGTATGTGATTTTGGAGTTTTTTTAGGGGGTTGCAAGACACAATAAGAGTTGCTACAGAGTAGCGGAGAAGAATCAAATCAATTCAAAAGATCGATCGCGAAGTTTCCAGGTTTTATAGTTTCATTGAATCTGCAAAGATTAAAGAATTATACTATGGCTATCCCGTCGGAAACCACGACCCAACAGTGAGTGTATTATGATTTAATCCTAAATCTTTTTAATCGAAGAGCAAGTATTTTATTTAAATTATTTCTTAAAATGTTTTGTTAATAGGGAAATAATAAGAAGGCAAAACAAAGGATCCCCGTTTAAGTTCTTGGTGCCTTTAGTCTATGTTCCTGTTCTTCCCCTCAGTAAGTTCCTTTCCGTTTCTTCGATTTCCTTTTATTTTCTTTTTGAATTACAGGATGTTTTGGTTTTGTTTATTGCTTTGAATAAGGCGATGCTCGAATTAAAATGTTTTGGTGTTGGCAGTTCGACTGACTTTGCGGCATAGGCCTGTCTTGAGGGATTGGTTGTTTACTGCTATTTTGGCTGGTGCATTTGCTCATGGCTTTTATTTGGTGTATCTTTTGATGTAGTCTACCCATGATTTGGTTTAGTTTGTTTCATAGCTATTTAATTAAGGATTCAATATGCTTTTGTTTCTTTTCTTCATCTTACATGATCGTTTCTTATAAAATTTTAGAGATGGGAGTTTGTGCTACAATTTCTTTTGCAGAGCTTAAGCTTGGAGCATATGAATTATACTCCCTCCGTCCCAAAATTATTGTCCAGTTTGGGTTTTCATTTTTAGTTTAAATTGTACTAAAAGAGAAATTCCAAACTGGACAATAATTTTGGGACAGAGAGAGTACTACGTAGTTGTTTTGATACTTATTAGGATCGATGAATGATGAAAACCAGCTTTATAAGGACTCAAAGATTAGTGCATGTTGCAGAGGCACACATGAGAGTTAAAAAAATCACCCCTAACTGAAATCATTTGTAACTTACAATATGCATCATTCATCACTGTTCCCTTCATCACAATGCCATCTCTGACATTTGTTGTGGTAAATTTCACTTTCTTCATGTTGTTTATATTGTGTTTTTATGTTGGGATGGAAGCTATGATGACGAAATGATTGAGTTCTTTTAAAAATATGATTTAACTTATAAAGATAATGATTTATTCTTCTTTCTATTTTGTTTATATTTCACATTCCAATGACAGTGGAGATTGAATGAAGACATCTGGGATGAATAGGCTCTTTTTCTTTTAACAATAATTCATCGAAAGAGAATAATATTTCCTTTATTCCTTACATATTAATGTGTTAAATTGTGTTCCGGTATCTTATATTTCCTCCGTCCCACAAAAATAGTCTAAGTTTCAAAATGTACTACTTTTTTGATTTAGTCAAACCTAACAAGGTACAACTCTTTTTATCCAATGAACTTACACTAATGCCCCTGTTTATCATCCCTCATCTTACCCAAGTTTAGGAACTAGAAACAATGGATCTCCTCCTTCTATTTTTATCCATTCAACCGAAAAACACAAAGCCACCACCGCCTGTCGTCAAGAACCTCCAATTTGTTCCTTTCTTCAACCGGAAAACATAAAGCCAACGCCTTCTTGTTGTTCTTGTTGCCATCACTCTTCTCACAATTCCGAGCTTCGATTCCAGACGATTGGTCAGTATTTTTTCTTAATTCAGATTTTAGATCTATCTATCCAGTAAGTGCAGTCCAGGAGAATACCCATGCACATGGTGCTATATATGAAAAGGTTTGCGGGGTGGTATCTTGAAATAAAGGCCTCCAAGTTGTTTTTGGGGAATAAAAGTTTTTACTCCTTTTTTTCTTTTTTTTTTTAATGTGTGTAAACACCTGTTGTGTAAATAATAATTTGTCATTTATGGCTTTTGTATTATTCTTATTATTATTATTTTCTTCAGAATTGTAGTTATTTTTTTCTTTTAACTAACTTAAAACACACTAAATGCTTGGCCTGGACAGATGCCCGGGCGCCCCCTCTAAATTACTATTTTATTAAAATCTAATTGAATTACTATTTTTTAAGGAATTAATTTGGCGTATACATCATTTATGATATGGTTTGGGGCTTAAAAAAATATACCCATAAATCTGAGGTTAAAAGGGAATAATAAATAATTAGTTTATAAGGCATTATTTTTAATTGCTGGATTTAGGTATTTTTATTTTTTGTTTATATTAAGCCTGCAAAATTATACGATTGGACATTTGAATTTGAATTAATATATCCATTCGTTTGAAATGTAACTGATCCTTATTTGTAGTAAAACATGTGTTTTTTTTAAAAAAAAAATTATATAGCTTCTAATTAAAAGAAACTTACACGTGGCAAAAAAACTTCTGAAATCTGAAATATGGTGCATTGGAGTCAAAATAGATGCATACGTAGTTGCCACATAAGCTTCATGTCTTCTGATTTAATAGGGTAAAAAGGGATGTGTTCTCGATAAATTATTGTTTTTCAAAAGTTTGGCAATTTTTTCTCATTTAACTGACTTAAAACACATGCGTCCAGATACCCGCTCGGCCCAAGTATCTAGTTTACATTAGGGGTGTATACCAAATTGGTATTTTCCACGTGGCATATCAGAACTCCACGTAACCTGCCGGCAGCCACGTCCAAATACCAGCCTCCAAAAGCCGTCACACCGGCCACCTCCACCACCACCAACAACCCGGTCCACCCTTTCACAACAATTCCAACTCATTTATAATCATTCTGTCCTTTTCAGTTACTTTTTTCCCTCTTTCACCCTTCAAAATTTATAGAATTTCCCCAAGAATATTAATAATATTCTACTTCCTTCGTAATTTTTGTTCAACCTTCAGCCAATAATTAATTTTTTCCCACCTCAAATTTCGCCTTGTTTTCGTTTGCTTCTGGAAATCATCGGATTCGATATTCTTCTTTCTTCCCCAATCCTCTTTCTTCATCATTGATTAATTTTGCTTTGCCCGTGATCGTGTTCCCCCAAATTTCCCCCCCGAATTGAAACCCGGTTGCCAGAATTTTTCATTTTTTTTTCAAAACCCTTTTTTTTGTTGTGTAGTGTAATTTGACCTTTTTGATTTGGAGGCGTTCTCTATTTAGGGGAAATTTCCTGTGGGGGGAAGGTCGTTTGACAGAGAATATTGAGGGAGATGAGTTTTCAGGATTTGGAATCGGGTCGGGCTAATGGGGCGAGGAGAGGGTTTGGGAATGGGAAACAGGATCCGAGCCCAACCCAAGCTGTTGCTTCAGGGATTTTTCAGATCAACACGGCGGTCTCCACCTTTCAGAGGCTAGTTAACACCCTCGGAACCCCTAAAGATACGCCCGAGCTGCGGGAGAAGCTGTGAGTACTTTCTATTTTGATCTACTGTCGAAGAAACATAACCCAGTTTTGATGTCTCATATGTTTTGGTTTCAATTGGGTTTGGGTTGGATTGTTTGAATTTTGTGTATTTTGTTGAATTTGTCATTTTTGTTTAGCTCAATTTGATCCGATTAAGCCTCCTGATGGGGTTTCGAATTTTCATCGATCCAACAAAGAGCCTTAATAATGCCTCGACAGGTTTTATCGTGGGTTTTCCCTGTAAGGTTTATCAGTTTCAGTTGGGATATTTAGTTGTGTACTTTAGGTTATTGCATAGGATGTTTTGACTTCCAATTGTAAGAGAGAGTTCTGATGCTAATTCCGAAAATAGTGTGCTCATTGGACTTTGGAGAATGCCTTTTTTGGGTTCTGCCTTGTTCTGTATTCGATCTTCAACGAATCATGATAGTCATGTCTTTGGCAATCAGAGGGTTCCAATTATGGTAGTTAGCATGATATGTTTGGCAATCAGAGGGTTACTGTTGGAACTTTGTGAATAACGAAATATAAAGATCGCATAGTGTGCCAGAGTTGTAGTGAGGTTATTTTGGCTGTCAACTGGGAAAATGGTAGGAGTAACAGAATTAGTTTTCAACTACTGATAAGTAGGTTATGGTGAAGCTGTATGAGAGGCGATTTGTATATGATGTTGTTATTAGCAAAATTTCCTTTTATGTTGGTATTTTACATAAGAGTTTGTTGCTACTGGAACTTTCTTGCTCCCAAAAGGGGCATCTTATGGGAAATAATGTAATTGGTGGTGCAAAGGCGATGAAGCTTTAACATGATATGAAATGCTGCATGTCTTTGTCCCGGGTGTTGTGCTGTTATACTGGGTTTATGCACGGAAGCGTTTCGAGCAGTGTGGTAGTGTTTGTATAGTTTTCCATATCCTTGTTGGTGTTTTAATTGTTATATTTGAGTGGTGGTACTGTTTGCCGTTTTTGCCCTATTATCAGTGCGCTATTTACTTTTTTAATTGCAGCATTTTACATTTGGGACTGTTTTCACATTTTCAAGAAAATTTAAACAAAAAAGCTATTGATACAAATCCATTTTCTTTTTCATTGCTTACACAGATTTTTCCACAATGCAGGCACAAAACAAGGCTGCATATTGGACAGTTAGTCAAGGATACCTCAGCTAAACTCAAACAAGCAAGTGAGATTGACCATCGTGTTGAAGTCAGTGTAAGGCTGCTTATTTCCTTTTGCTATGAACTCCTCTCTAGATTCCCCTGCCTCCTTTCAACCGCGTTTCTCACATTAGTACTCTCGGGCCTGCTAAAGGCATAAAGCTCTTTCCTTTGTTTGTAATGATCTTTTGACATGTCTCTCTTAGCAGCAATCTTTGCATTATCCTATAGATCTCATTGTCTGTGGTTACTTTTGATTAATCTATTTTTGTTGCTTGTTGAATTTTCGTTTTCACTACACCAATTGAAATTCTTTCCTTTTAGTCATTGTGCCACACTGCCCCTTCCTATTGCCTCCTTTTGTTTGTAGGCTTAATCACATGTCTAAATGCAGGCTAGCAAAAAAATTACAGATGCAAAGCTTGCTAAAGATTTCCAGGCAGTTTTGAAAGAGTTTCAGAAGGCTCAACGGTTAGCCGCTGAGAGGGAGACAGCATATACTCCATTTGTTCCTCAAGCAGCACTATCATCTAGGTAAACAGTGATGGAGGATATTATGTTGCCTAGTACTTCATTTTAAGAGTTGGACAACTGTACTTTGGTTTCAGAAATTTGTGATGAATTGTGTTCCCCTGTATTAAGATCAATTTTTGTTTTGCAACATGATAGTGAGACTGAAGTGAGTTTGGAGCAGGCGCCAGAACAGCGGCAGCTTCTAGCAGAATCTAGAAGGTATGGCTTTACCACTTCACTTTTACTGAAATTTACATCTGTGCGCGCTACTAGTGTTTCTTAGCTTGGGTGTGTTGTTACTGCAGACAGGAGGTTCTATTGTTGGATAATGAGATTGCATTCAATGAGGCCATTATAGAGGAACGGGATCAGGGTATACAAGAAATACAACAACAAATTGGTGAAGTGAATGACATCTTTAAAGATCTTGCTGTACTGGTTCATGAACAAGGAACTATGATTGGTAAGGGAGTCTCAGACTTTTCTCTTGTCGATTTTTGTTGGGTGATTTTAACTGAATGGAGTTGACTGTTTTATTTACAGATGATATTGGTTCGCACATTGAGAATTCTCATGCGGCAACTGGTCAAGGTAGATCACAACTCGCAAAGGCAGCAAAGACTCAAAGATCAAATTCGTCCCTGGTAATTTTGAGGATCTTGTTATCCAAAATGATGATGATATAACATCATTTGTTTTTGAGTTCCATCATGGTTTTTTCTATTACATGGTCTTGATGGGTTGGAGTTAATGTTCCTTGTAAAAGAGTTACCATTTTCTTCTCTAGCATAAGGATGTTTGACCCCCTGCATTTTAAAATGAACTCCATTTTCTTTACTAGCTAAAACCAGTGATGGATAATGAATGAATGTAGACTTTTTCAAGGCTTTCTATTTTTGACAAGCAACAGTTGAGTAATACTAGTTAATACTATAATCTGCCTTATCCCTGGCTCATTTGGTTTTGTTCACATTTGATTCTATTGCAGACCTGCTTACTTTTGGTAATCTTCGGGATTGTGCTTCTTATTGTGATCATAGTACTTGCTGCGTAGTGAGGCAAAAGAAGTTTTGAGCCTTATTGCGTGGAGATCTCCAGAGAATTCAGCCAATTCGGAAGATGATCTCACCGTGCAACTGCAGCTGATTGGTTTGTGGCTTATACTGAATTTGGATGAAGTAATCAGATATATAGTTTCAAATCCTTTAAAGATTCTATTATCTGGGCGGGGGGTTGGCGTTGTATATGTAATGTTTCGTTGAGGTATGAGGTTGATGAACAATTATGTCATATTGTGCTGCTTTTCTGTGGAGAAAAATCAATATTTCTGCTGGGTGAAACCCTATTTGTATGGCAAGCTTCATATAATGGTTATTTTGGGTGTGAATGAGAACCTCTGTTTGGAAATAAAAATGTAGGCATTCTTTTCATTCTTTTTCATATAAAGATGATGAAAACAAAAGCTCAGCCGATATCCTCCTGCGTTTCACTACTGTATCCTCGTTACCATCTGGCTCGGCATCTAATTTATTCTGGGAATCAAATTCACCAATGATCAAATCCCATGCATAAAAAGTATATAGCAAAAAAGTTCTCAATTTGTGTGATAAAACTTAAAAGAGCTCCATAGCGAGCTACACTTCTAGCGAAGAATTTGAGAGATCATAGTTTTCGAGATTTATAGGTGTCGTACCTTTTGTGTGTTATTACATTAACGTTATAGAACGTCTTTTATTGCATTGTAATGATGAATGTATGCACATTCTACTTTGATCTAATTAGAATAATGGGGAAATATTAAGAATGTGAAATTTGTTTCCCAAAAAGAAAAAATTAAGGCTCCATTTGGACAAGTATTTTGAAAATTTGTTTAGAAAAGTATGTTTGAACCAAAATTTAGAAAAGTATTTTTTGAAAAATAATGCATTTGGACAAGAATTTTTCAAAACCCTTTTAGTAATTAAAAATATTAAAAAGTCATTTGGATTAGATCTTTTTCTAAATTACTTTTTATTCAAAATAATTTGTGAACTTTTTTTTTTAACAAAAAGAAAATCAATTGTCATTTTCATTTTTTTTCCCCACTTTTCTTTCCGAAATTTTTGGTTTATTATTCGCAATTGTCTTGTTCCACAATTTTCTTATCCACACTTTATCTTCCAACATAAATCAAAATTAGAGTATAATTTTAAAACCATTCTGACTAAATTAAAACATAATATTAAAACCATTCTAACTTATCAAATGCATAATAACTTATGTCCGCCAAAGGTTAATATACCCCATACTAAAGTGCCGCCAAAATGAGGTTTGAATTCTTGGAACAAAGCTCCAGCAGGACAGCAGTTACACATTCTTTGTTTTTTGGAGTCTCATCTTTGATCAGATTCACAACTGTTTCAATGAATGAAAGCTGCCAATTTGTTGCCTCCCATTCTAACTCAATGCAAGAAGCAAAATGATGGACAATATTTCATTAAGCATGTCTAAATTTTTGTCCTCAAGTAGGTTGATCAATGGTGGGATGATCCCAGCTTCAATTGCCATTGACTTGTTAGTGTGGTTCAGGCAAAGATTGAACGATGCACTGACTGCATCTTTTTTCTCGCGAATCGTCTCGCTTTTTAGTAGTAGTATCAATGGTGGGATGCCATTCAACTCCCCTATCTTCACTTTGTTCTCATCCAGCATTGATAAGCTGAACAATGCTGCTGCTGAGTTCTCCTTTCCACCAACAGATTCGTTTTCTATAATGTCGATTATAGCCGGGATTGGTTCTTATTTGGAGATCAACTTCTTGTTTGATTCATCAATGGACAAGTTCAATATTGCTATCACAGCATGCTCCCTAATCTTTGAATTAGGATAGGTTAGCAGCTCGACAAGGGGTCGAACGCCTCCACTGGTCGCGATCAGGATTCGGTTCTCATAACCGCCTGCAAGAACTCATGAGGACTAACCTGCAAAAATCCGTACATCAAAATAGAACCCAAGGCTCATATCCTCACAAATATTGCACTTACCCGTACATGTTCCTTGAAGTTTCTTGCATGCCAATTTTTTCGTGTGAGCTCTCCAAACCGATGAACAAGCAGAGATTTGTTGTGCTGATAGTTTTCTGGATAAGCAAAAAATTTCTCAGAGGAGTAACTCGCATTAAGGATTGAATAGTCACATTAACAAAATCAGTCTCCTTGATGTTATTCAGTCCCACCTCAAAAAGGTTCCAAAATGGGAGAAAAGTATCAATGAAAGAAACCAGGTAAGACCTACTTAAAAAATGGAGAAAAAAAAGTTTCGAACAAACTATTTCGGGAAGATAATCTGATCCGTCAAGTGCCCTTGAGCACTTCTTATTCTTGTCAAGCTGCTCAACTTGTTCCCTAGATAACCTGTACCCCAATGGCACAAAAAAAGAGCAGGTAGCACAGAGTTAGACAGCCATAGAGAAAGGAAAGTTAGAAAAACTTTTATGCAAAAAAGCGATGAGACAAAACCTTGGGTTAAGAACATGTCGTATGTCATCCAGTGATGGGTCAATAATTTCGTAGCCATCAGGGAGGCAATAAATTTTCTCTGTCTGAAGATTAATGTATACATGGTGTCCGGCTTCCAAACTGTGAGTATATGCATGGGATTTTTGCCCTCTCCCTTGAAAGTACTTCCCACAAACCAAACATGCATAGACATTCAAATCGGAGAGGGAAACAGAGCAAAATTTCTTTAAAGTCAAAATCTAAAACCTGCAAGAGGTGCAATAACATTATTAATTGAAACACAAACGCAGAAACGCAAGGACGCATATCAAAAGAAATGCAGACAAGAGAACTATATTGATCTAAAGACGTTTTACATTAGTGGGAAAAAAAAAGATCTGATCTTTCCAAGTCCTGCAGGTCTGACGTAAATCACAGAAATCGAACTTTCTACTAGAACGAGTAAGCGAAACCAAAAAACAAAAAAAACAAAAAACAAAAAACAAAACCAATCACGATACGATAATTGCGCCAAACCACAACGAAGTCGCATGCCAATACAGTATCATGAAACTTAACTTATCAGATCTATAAAACAAGCCAAAACAAACACAATCAGATTTGTTCAGTCAAGCAAGTCAAATCTCTCAATTTTGTCATACAGCAATGGTGCGGATCTGAATCGAAGGATTCTTTATTATCTAATCTTAAAGTTGCATCAAACAAAGAACATATTCATGAAAAAAAATCAGCTTAACAGGTTTAATTATAGTACAGTGCCACAGACCACGTTGTGTTAGAACATACTAGATTGAAGCGGCTTCTCTCGAATGAAGACTTTGAATTATGAAGGTCCTGCAAAAAACAACCTCAAAAGTATTAGAAATCCATTCCCATTGCACACAAAAATTTTAAAGAATTCCCATAGTACAAGTTCATTGGCGTACCCATTTGAAGCTAACAGCTTATCATATAATATATTGGTAGACTACCTAGCTATCAATTAAGAAATGCATCAAAACCTTAATCAGATAGACAATCGCGGGCTATTGCATTTAAGCAATAAGTTAAGAGCATTTTAGACATGTTATATACATTCTTCAAAGATAGGCTTGCTTAGAAAATATTTTAACAGAGATCATTATGAGATAGTCCTTTTTGCTAGCTGTAATGTTCCATTCCGCAAAAAAAGTGCATTAGTACAATAAAATTTTTTTTTTTTACTAGTCGTACACATAAACATGCTTCTCATTGGAAAATACTTCATAAAGAAAATGAATCAAGATGCAGAAGTTACTTCTTCTAGTTCAGCAACAATATCATCCCTGATTCTCTTCTTCAGTGAGGCAAATTTGTCCCTAGCTTGTATTCATTCATGTTAAAGCACATATCAGCTCATAAAATGAAACTTGAAAGCTAAATATCAACTCACAAGGCCATTACGATTAACAACCATTCACCAGCTGTCCAATTTTCACTCGATTCTCACACTTAATACCACACAACTAATATATTCACGAGCTGATACAGGTATATTGTTGATTGGGCCGAAGACTACTTGATTCAAGTATACCTAACCAACCCCGCCTCCCTTCCTGACATATCAAGAAACTCTGACATATTAACTAATTAACTAGAGTTATTCACTACCCATATTCAAAGGAAAACAAACTATAGTAGTATGAAGGCTAAGTTTGCAATGAATTCCGACACAAAAAGCAAACCCACTTCGAATATGATTCAATAAATAAAACAATGAAAAATTTCACACAGATCCCTATTGAAATAACAAGGATTTGAATGTAAATCTAAGTATTAGAAGTGATAGGAAGCTAAACCTAATCTAATCAAAAAAAAGAAGAAAAAGAGGGGAATAAGAAAGATTACCAGAACAAGGTGTCGCCTCCTACTTCGTCGTCGCCGTCACTGGGGAGTTTTGCCGTCGCCGCCGCCGTCACTGGGGGTGCCGCACGGCTGAAAGAGAGAGAAAGAGTGAGAAAAGACGGCGGATTAGGGCATGGGCAGAGAGTGAGAGAAGAAAACGTAGTTTTACCTTATGTCCATGACCCGTTTTTTCATAACCCGTCCTCGACCCGGATTCAGACCCGCGAACGGAAACAAAAAAGGTTATTTCAAAAAATTGAAAATAATCCCCTATCTATTTTCTAAAAAGTCTGTTTCAAGTCTTATTTTTTTTAAAATTGATGTTTAGAAAAAATTTTAATTATTTTGTCCAAACGCATTTTAAACTCTAAATAGATTTTTTAACCTTAAAAGTCTTTTTAAAACTCTTGTCTAAATGGAGCCTAAGAATGTGAAATGAGTGAGTAAACGAAGTAGTTTTGTAAAAAAAAAGTGTAATGTGTATTATTATGTTGTTATAGTAAAATTTATTTTCAACAATTATTATAGTTGATACTAGTTTCTACTGTTTTCACATCCACAGTAACAATGTGCGTAATATACCAAGAAAGACCAATATGTTTGGTCATGATAAAATAAAAATTTATTTGTGGAAAAAAATAAAACTAAAAGCGTTTGTGTTAAACTTGGGTCAAGTTGGATACTATAAACCCGCCTCCGGAATCCGAACTGAATTGCTCCTCACGACACCATATATACGAGAAAATCCCTTCTCCCGCCCCTTTTCGCTCCTCGCCGTCGCCGCCGCCGTCGCCGCCGCCGCCGCCGCCGTCCCCTTCCCGGCTCCCGCCTCCGGCGCCACTCCTTATCATAATTCTAATCTTGAAGGCCGCTGTCTTCAGCCGAGAGAGATTGACCGCGTCCAATTCTGCATCGAAAACCCTGTATTCCCAGGTACCGACCAAATTTCATCATAAAAATATGGCAGTGGGAAAATGTTTGCCCTAATCGACTGCTTCAGTTTGCTTAATAGGGTTTTACATGTCATATTTTACATGCCCCAAGTTATTATGTTATTTGGTTCAACGTTAAAGCAAAAGCCATGTATGAAACAGTTTCCGCGACGTGTTTGTGGAAAACAAACACAGAGATGTTGCAAAAAACATTTACCTTTTGGGCACATCAACTGGGTAAAGTGATGATTTCTAATTCCGCTGAATGACTTCAAAATTTGGAACTAATAAGTTTTACCTTATTTATTTATTCTTTTGTGAATTACTTTGAGCATTAAATGGATATTGCGCCGCTTTTGATTATATGGTGGAGTAGTTATTTCCATTCCGGCATGGTACTTTTCACGACAGTTAGGTGGTAAATCTTGTGTCATGCATTCTTGCCCTATATTTCTGCTGCTTTCAATGCCTCAGTAATTTGGCAGACATGGACAATTTGAATGTTCGTGAGATAATAATGCATCCCCAGGAATAATTCGGTTTGAGTTGCAAATTTTTTTTCTTTACTTGAATAGTCTTTTCAGTAATTTCACACAGATTACTGGGTGCCCTCTTTCCTCTCGTTTTGAAGCGCCTTAAAATCGGTATCTGTTCGAGGGCATTTTATTACTTAAGGACAACAAGTTTGATAACAAAAGGAAGAAGTTTTTGGCATGCTTTTTTCACCATAAATCATTTTCGCATCTTGTCTAATTTTTCAGTTGCCAACTTTTCAGGCCTATATCTTACCTGAGTGGTAAAAATGGCACGGAACTTAATTAATGCGAATCCAGTTGTATATGAGAAAAAGGAGCGGCACAGACGAGATGCAGTAAATGAGGTGGATGAGTATTCAACCGAATCTATTGATCAGCTGGAAATCTTTGATATCCTTGAAGTTGCTTACTTACTGCAAAACACATGAAAACATTGGTAGATAAAGGATACATGCATTTAGAATTATTATGGATTTGGAAGCCATTTTGTCTGATATGCAGAATGTGGGTCACTATATGCTTGATGTACTTTTTGAAGTGATTTTATAGATCCTATGAGCAATGTATGAGTTTATATCTGGAACACAAATCGACGATGTGATTTATTGGTAAAGTTGATTATTAAATGTTCTATTTCTTTGTTTCTGATAAAGTTTGCTGTATTCACGGCAATAGAATGGTTATGGACACTATAGCCTTGTGCGTATCTGCGCTGATTTTTGAGACTCTATCCAATGTTATCAAGTTTTGCTCTTTTTTATGCACCTTGCCTGGAAGTTTACATAAACTGGGACTATGATATGCCACCTAAACTGATATCTTATCTCAATTTCTTTTTTGGGTTAAACTATCTAGTCTCATTATGCACATGTTAAGTCTGTAGTTTCTGGTTTTCTTTGTCCCTCTGCATTTTACATCAAAGCATATGAAACAGATGAATTGGATCCTTATATTTGAGTTTGGTATCTCTTGTCTTTTTCAAAGTTATTTTGGCATTTGAATATGGGGACTCTTTGGAGTTTGATATGGTATACAATGGCTTGCTGAATCCATAGTGCAAGGACCTTGTTCTTCTTAATATTCTCACATCATCTTAGAGATATAAAAGACCCAGAGCACCCATACTCCTTGGAAGAGCTTAAAGTTATAACAGAAGATTCGATTGAGGTGGATGATCGACATAGCTTTGTGAGGTCTGAGATTTCTAGATGAGTATTCACTTATTAATTTAAACAATCCTTGTCCTTCAAATTGTTTATTAAAATGGAGCTTTTGAATTCAGGGTCACATTTACTCCAACGGTGGAATATTGCTCTATGGTGTCAGTTATTGGCCTGTGTTTGCGAGTTAAACTCATGCGATCTTTGCCTTCACGCTTTAAGGTATGTTGCTGTTTTCATATACTGGGGGGGCCAATCTTGTTTAATTACAAACATTTCTGGATTGAAAATAGAACTTTTGTGCTCTATTGTTGTATCTTTTCACCCTGAAGCTTAAATATTGTAAGTGATGGACTTTCTGTGTGAATAGAATTTAAGGTAACTTTTGGTACTTTTCAGCAACGGTATTTATTCTTCGTTTTGGGTTAGCTTGATTAAATCATGAGTTTTCAGTAATTGAGATGTAGGGAGAGGATAGTTAAACTTCTTTCAAGTTGAATATATATCAGCTGTTTGATTTTAAACTGGATATTTGACCGTTCGGGAATCTTTTCCCATTTCGGTTTAACCGCAGTATGACAATTGAGGCAATAATTGCTTAATATGTACTTTCTTGGGGTCTGAAGTTGTTACTTGTCTTAGGACTGCCATTGTAATCCTTCTCCAATGTAAGGATCACCAATTTGACGTTTGGGTGTACTAATACTTAAATATTAGCTGTTTGGCAATTTTATATGGTCATATGATGTTGATAGTTGGCTTTATTGTTGTTTATCACTATTCTGATTCTTGTATCTTCGAAGCTTTCTGAAGCAGCTAATGGAACCTAAAGGAAAACTATTCATAGACTGCATTTTGCCGTTAGTTTGATCCTAAAAAACTTACATCTCTGATGCTGGTTTGCGTTCTATAAATGTGTTTCCACCCCATCTGCTTTGAGATCTTAAAATTTTTTGCGTTCTTAGTGTTTACATGCACCTCTGGTAATACGTAATTGAGTAGATTCAATGGACTTTCAGGAAATAGTTGGGATTTACTAGCATAACTGGAAAGCAAAATATTTTTTATGCCCCGAGTGAGTGTTGAATTTTGAAACTTTTGTTAATCGTCGAAATCGCTTGGCTGGGTGCGGATTTTCACTCTTAGACCTTCTTAAGCAATCAAATGTTTAATCATATCTCTGGGGCCCAAGGATTTTTATGGTCTCACGAGGGGTGCTACCCTAGATTCCTCGCCATCAGTAGTTCATGATTCATGAGTACATATTGTTTCCCTAATGCTTCTGTTCTGGGAGTAGCTATCAATCCGTCCTAGTTACTTCTGCTTGGTGTGTCATTAAGGTTGGAAGACCATGGTCAAATGGTGCACTTTGTGATTTGGATGTGGAATATATGTTATCCATTGACGAAAGAATATCTTTGAATGTTTTAGAAGAAAATCTATTGTCAATTGACAGAGAGTTATCTATGTTTGTTCCATTTTCTACTGGCTAGATATTTTTTAGTTGGCTGTGATTTCAGTGCGTGGACTTGATTTCCTATGAAGAAAATCGTAGGTGTTCTTAGTTCACTACCAGAATTGTTTCATGTACATTGAACTGCTTTTGACCTTACTCATCATTATATGCAACTGTATGGTTTGGGTTTATGATAAAATGTGGTAATTTGCTAGTAGAATAGTATATTCTGTGTAAGCTTCTGTTATTCATTTCAGAGTGTTCCCACTAGCAAAGTTTTCTTTCTCATGCATGACATCTATGATCGCCTCATTAGTTGTATTAGTTTATTTCCTGGATTTTCAGATGCATTATGGTATTGGAGTTGAGACTGAGAGTTGAATTATTGGGCCAAATTAAATAACATGTTATATTCTAAAATGTAAATGATGATCTGCGGCTGTTTATGGGGATATTTTTCTGATAGTAGAATTACCAATCAGGTTTGTACGAATAAAGCAAAGTTCATTATGGAAAAAACTTCTGACATACTTATAGTAGTTAGGCATTCCCTTGTTTCTGGTTAACTTTCCGTGAAGATGTTTTACCACTTGTTCTATTGGCAAGTACCATCTTTGCCTTGGAATGAATGGGTTTAATTACTCTTTCAGGTGGATATTAGAGTAGCACCTGGAACTCATGCAACTGAGGCTGCAGGTCTCTCTCTCTCTCTCTCTCCTCCAAACCCCCTCTCTCTCTCTCTCTATCTCCACATATTCATGTGTCTCACCGCATATTCTTGTGTCTGGAAATTCATCTGATAATCTTGGCATATCATCTCAGTATATTAGTTTGTTGTAACTGGAGAGATGACTGCTAGTACTTGGTATCTTCATTTCCTGTGCCCTTGTTTGCTAGTACTGGAGAGATCTCATTTGGCTTCTTTTCTTTTCTTTTATTTTATTTTACAGTATTTTATTTTATTTTATTATTTATCTTCATAATTTGTTTGACAATGTAAATCAGTTAACTTGGCCTACATGTGCGTCATTGGAAGTCTTGCCTCTTGGATTTCCAGTACCGTGTCACATCAAAAATTTATGCAATGCAATGAACTGTGGTCCAGTAACTGATCTTTCTACTAGTTTGACAATTTACGGTCCAGTAATACTGAGACGTGCCTGTTTGTTTCTTTTGCAGTAAATAAACAGCTGAATGATAAAGAAAGAGTAGCTGCAGCTTTGGAAAGTCCTAACCTTTCGAGTATGGTGGAAGATTGCCTTGCTCCGACTCATCATGATTATTGATTAGTTAAAGGATGGCAAGTTTGTTGTTTTTTGTATGTAAATTTCCATGATTTTGTTTAAATTTGTGCAATAAAAGTTTTGAGCAAATCTCGGTTACCTCGTCTTTGCAGTATCTTGTGCCTGTTTCTTTGGCTATGATTCTGTTTAAGTCATTGATTCATTTGTTAGTGCACTACAAATATGAAAACTAAATGTTCAATTTTGCTCAAAATTTATCTCATGCCCGGCTGGCCTTAGAAAATTTGCCACTTTTTGTTTAAATTTTAGCCGAAACAACTAGTTTTTTGCAATCTCAAACCATACAAATCAATGAGATGAGTTTCTGTTGAACCCTTACAAACTTTGCAATCCGTCGATCACTTTATTGTATTTTTTTTTGGAACTCTGCCTCACTTTATTATTATTTTTTAGTTCAACAAAATAGACTAAAGAGAATAATATAGCCATATATTACTCTCTTTTTTGAATATTAAGGCATCGCAATGACGGGCCGAACCAAAAAAATCAGGATCAATAGCCATATATACGACAGGTCATTATATGCGACATGGCATTTTGGGATTATTGTTCAAACACTACTGTGTTCGTGTTCGATGAAATATTTGCATTTTAGGCCGTAACAAGAATCAAAGTGACCCCAATTTACAGGTGTTCCAAAGACAGTTCTCGAACAAAATTACAAACCGACTACAGAAGTAACTAAAGGGAAAATTTGATGCCTTCATCATCAGTGGAACTCCCTTTGAATATTACAAGCTTCCCCTTTTGTTCTAGAAGTTTCAATGCCCTCATCAGAACTGTTCGATCAATTCCATGTAGTTCTGCATTTCAGCAAAAGTTTAGCAAAAAAATAAGGACCTTCTCATAACTCATTACAGCATAATGCAACCGAACTAATGGATAAAACTAAAACATATGTCTAATGCTCATGAACTGAACCACTCTTTCAATCGAAACTTCCCAGGAGCAGTATTTAATACTGAAAGGAAATGTACCGTCACGAAAACAAAGACAGGGCCAGTGGAAAAAGATATCAGTTTGGTGATTTAAAAAGCAATAGAGCATTACCCTTTTCTTAACAAATATTTCTTACGTATTCATAATCATCGATAGAAGGTCTTACAAAAAGCCTACACCATAAACATTCTGCTGCCAAGTGGGAAAAGAAACAAGGAATTGTCCAAACATTACTTTAACGTTGGGGGGAGACACCCAAATAGCTTAAGCTGTCCAATAGTGCAGTTAAGGATGGAGTTAACTATACCAAATGAATTACAAGCTATGGAGTGCCCTTAAGAGATAAAACACATGTTTTAAAGGTGATAACCATCTGAACAAACAAAACTGTGGTCGAATCTTCAATCTTGTTTTCAGATACCATTTACCCAACAGAAAGGACAAAAAACACCATTGTGGTTTGGAATGAAGTGTCAAAGCTAAGGAAATTTATACTGCGATGGCTATGGTGAAAACTACCAACAATCCTCTATTGCCTTTTATGTTTTTCCTCCCATCAACCTGACAATTGCAGCTTTTGCGCATGTATTGTACGAATCTACCACATTTACTAATTTCCATCGATTTGACATTTCAATCTCATCAACACAGATACTGGAGGGTTTCGAAACAGGGAAGAAACTGAGAATTGTAAAAAGGACATTTTTTTGAAAAAAAGTTACAGAAATACATGTATACCTGTTCCTCTGGATTCAATCCCCGAGCGTATTTCTTCAACTGTCATGATATTGTCCTCCAAGCCATTTTCTTTTACCTGAACAGCAAATAGAAAAAACAGTCAAATACTGATTAACTACGAACCTGTGCTTGGTAATATCCACATTTCTTTAGAAAAACCCAAATCAGTGGTAACATATTTAGAAACCGATGTGTAATGAATGATTTTATTTGGCTTCACTGATAGCCAGATAGAAACCAAAGTTAGATCTCATCACTCACAAAGTGCAGAATCAACTCAGCCCAATCTTGGATTCTATGCCACAGTATAAGACACTTCCTGTGCCCTTTGTCGGTCCATTCTGCACGCCCTGTCAAGTGTGTATCAGAAGAGCAAGAATAGATTGAGCTTCAGCAGAAAAGATAGTATAATGTACAAACTGAATAAGTTTCAGAGATATATAGACCATCTGATACAAGGGCTGAGAGAAAAGCCACTCTTGCTTCATGACTAAGAGATCCTGCATCATTTGTATAACCAGTATAAATAACAGTGATTGAAAAAGTTAAGAATTGGTACAGCCACAGAACACTAATCACAAAAGAAAGTAAAGAAATGATTGCACAACACAATGCAGATGAAAAATAACACGAAAGACTACTTCATATTTATTTGTCGAAAGAAAGTGAATGAGTTTTATTTAGCTAGAGTAATCAGCAATGCATCGACAAATAGTTTGAGCTGCTAGCAGATAAAAAGCCAGATCATAATGAGCATCTGATTCCACAGTTCCCTACTCCTCTTTTAGAACCACGGGGCAACGTATGACAGTCTCCAATTACACGGTCAAACTGATGAGAACGAGAAGACTTCTACTACAATATAATCAAGCCACTCCTGATAAAAAAATAAAGGAGGGTGCAGCTTAATTTGTTGAATGGAGAATCTTTTGTGATGCTTGACTTCCTTCAACAATTAGGATTGAAGGTGGAACCTAGTTCAGGTTTGGAGAAGTAATATCTACTAAAACCAGAAATTTATGGGGGAAGATTCAAGAGGGAAAAAAAGGGAGGAAATCAATTGAAATTTGGAAAAAAAAAACACAAAATGGTCGGCCATCCCAATGGAAATAGTGAAAAATCAAACCTTACAACACCGGGGCAATTATCCATCAGCCAACACGTTTAACTTAGATCTTGAGAATACATCCTAAATCAATCAATACGAGTAGAATTCAAAGAATAATCGATAAGATTACAGGACGAGTTTTCTCTGGTGAATATCTTGTTCTTTGCAATTGGATCATAGGCTCTAAAATTGGCAATTGTGTTAGTCCTACTATATATATAAAATAGAATATACTCATATCTAAGTCAAAGCAAGATCTATTATGTGTACAAGCATTCACATAAATGCGCCGATTACAAGCATTCACATGAATGTGAGTGTGTTCTCAATCATAATGTGTAACAATGTGCTGAATAGAAAGAACAGACATACTTACTCTCAATCGCAGGATTACTGAATAGTGGAAAATCTTCCTCTAATCCAATGAAAAAAATTCTCTGCGCTCGACAATACTCAATTATCAACTCTTTCCACAACTGTATCTGCTTCTCTCTGGTTTCCCTTACTGGCTGTAAACTGAAAGACATTAAAAAGACGGTGTCTGATCACAATAGGACAAACAAGTGGTAAGGACCTCTCCCAATCACCAGTCACCAAAGTAAATATTGACCATGTGATTAAAACAACACAAAAGAAAGATAACATTATAAAGGGCTTATACCACACATACCCAGAAAAAAATTAAGCAATATAATCTAATCAAATATAAGAGATTTTCATAAAAATACCAGAATAGATTGTTCCTTTCAGGATGAGCAATTTCCAATGCATTTCATTAACCATTATTACTAGCTGTGAGTAACTTAGTCGGATGCAACAACAACAAGACCCAAGAAACTCATCAAACTCTAAGAAGAATACCTAACTTAAACTGAAAGAACTCATCGACAGTCATACTAAATATCCAAATTAAAAAGTTAACAGAAAACCCACATAGGAGAAAAGAGTTTTAAGCGATTACGTGAAATATGGAGGATAATTGAAGAAATGAGGCAGCTTGAATTCACCCAATTTCTGCATTGTCCCTTTACTCTTGGACGAATTCAGTGGATGAGAAGAATAGCAGAAGACAGCAAAATCAAATGGTACGAAGGGGTTCGTCTGACGAACAAGTAGACCAGAACGAACAGAGGACCGAATCTAGGATCACCCAAATTATTTTCCTATTTCGTTCTTTGTTGAGTTAGTATTATTTTCCCAATTATATTTAAGGTGAGTTTCCGGGCTCTTTTTTAAGTAATTGCTGGAATATTATACTATTACTAGTAGTTTTTCTTCTGTAAGTCGATGATTTTCAGGAAAAAAAAAAAAATTCTTTGTCCGGAGCTTATGTTCTATAGAAACTTTTACTTATCATTTGTTGTGAATCTTTAAAATTATGAAACTACTTGAGGCTTAATTTGTCCAAAACCATAATCCAACCATAATGCTTCGATTTTTTTTTTTCCTTAGCCCTTTTCCTTTCTATTTTCTTCCCTACAAGAAAAGCTAGAATTGAGTTTATATATGTCGCAAAAGAAGTGGGCTGGTTAGATGGAATTGGAATGGAATTATAATTAAAACTAGATGCTTGGCCCGGGCGGATGCCCGGCCGATCTCTTATAAATAATATTGTTAATAGTTTATGATTATAATAATAATGATAGTAATAAAAATAATGATAATATATAGATGTGGGTTAAAAAGAAGTAAATGAAAATCATATGGAAGAATTGTCAATAATAGAATGCTGCGGGTGTCAAATAAATATGGCAAAGTCCGGGGATCACTTCCGTAAAATGGTGTTCTGTTTAAATATAAAGAAAAGAAAAAAATCTGAGAAGGCATAATTCCATTCTTGTTCATATCGAACAGATCTGGAAAGTGTACATTTCCTTTTCAGACTGTTCATTCTTCCCATCAGATCTAATCAATGTAAAGGATTTCCAATTCTTTCCATATGTTCATTGTTACGGGAAGATTGTATTTATTCAGCTGTTCATCTATATTCATATGTTTTCGAGGAAATCGAAACATTCATTTCGGTCAGAGAAGAATGAGATCGATTGAATAATAAGCATCATCGAAGGGATTGAAAGCTATTGATGGGTTCGCATTTAAAGATGTTCTTGATTACAGATGCAAAAACATCTGTTGCCGTGAATTTTCTATGGTGGGATATAAATCAGTTCGTCATATATAGCAGTGTTCAATCAAAGATTTCTCACTTTATTCATGAAAGATTCTAGGTCGGAAATCCCATTTCAATCTGTGCGGAAAAAGAATAACTTCGATTATTCTACGGAGGTAATATTATTGATATTTTCAAATAGTATGCTATTTAATTTCATTGACAGTAATGTATTTCAATTATTTATTTCATTACAAATATATGTTTGAACATGTAAATGGTGTGTGCAGAATATATTCGATGAAATACTCAGACAATGTTCAGTAATAAAGCTGCAGTTGAACATGCAAGATGATATTTGGGCAATATGTTTTTGGATGAGGTAATTATAAACTTGTTTAAATTTTTGTTCTGATATTATTCAATTAACATGTACTGTGTTAAAGCACATATGTTTTTCTAATTCAACTGATATTATTTTTTGTTTTTAACAGTTAATTGAATATTTATATGTATTTGTTTGTATGGTGTGCATAATAATTTGTTATCATGTGTATAGTTAGAAATTGTTTTTTTGAAAAATGATAATGACTTTAGAATGATAAATAGCTGTCAAATGTAATCATTTCCTTAAAGCTAATATGAATTTACCTATATTGCTGGGATCTTCCTGCATAAACTCTCTTTATTGAAAGAAAACTCGTGGTTGAGTTATACTTTGGGTTTTTCACTGTGAAAACCCATTGCAGTTAAGTACTGCAATTCCTTCTTTCTTATCCTCCACAAAACATAAAGAACTGGCTGTATTTGAAACCATCTTGTACCAATAAAGTATCTTCATTTTGAATAGAGATGCAGATTTTAGTGTAAAAACAGTTTAATTGGTTTGATAGCAAGCACAGATAAAAAAAAAAGGAACTGTAACATTGTAATGTTATAAAACAGAAATTTAAAACAACTAATTTCACCTGACATTACGAAGAGCTTCCTTGTAGACGACATTCATAGTTTTATTTGATCTTGTACCTTCACTGTCACAAATCAACACTTTCAATCCTTGTTTAGAAGTTACCCTTGACAGAGCCACGTATAACTGGCCGTGGCTGAAAACTGGTCGTGGTAGGTAAAGTCCAACTGTAGAAAGAGACTGACCTTGACTTTTGTTAATGGTCATAGCAAAACATATTGCTATGGGAAACTGCCTCCTCTTCATTTTGAAAGGAATGTTCCTGTCAGAAGGAATTATTTTCATCCTGGGAATAGGCACAACATGACCTATATTGCTTCCTGATATAATTCTCCCCTCTATTACGTAACGTCCCATACGTGTAACCTGTAGTCTAGTGCCATTGCACATTCCTAACCTTTGATCAATGTTACGAAGTAGAATGATTGGAACATTACGTTTCAGTACCAATCTGTGATTGGGAAGACCTGAAGCCTTTACACTGTTGAGGAATTCGGGAGTGTATATACCCTGATCTGATTCACCTCCATGCTCAGAATTACACATAGTGTCTGAACTGAGGTATTCACGTTCTTCCCCAGGTAATAAACCTGTCATGTAATCGTTGACCTTATCAATAACTTCATGTGTTGGTCCTAAAATAGCTCTTTCCTGGAACCAGATAGGGTTTTCAAGATTATTTAATAAGTTTGGATATATAGTCTTAACAATAATTTCGATAGGATCTCCTGGTTCCTGTATAATGACATCATCTGCGAATTCAATCTCAGCTTCACCATCATTTGGTTCATTTACCTTTCCTTCTCCGATTTTTAGCAGCCAGTAAGCAAACTCACGTATTTCATCATGATTATTTGTTGTATAATCAACACGTAGCCTCATGTTAACAGTCAACCTTAGTACCTTACAATATCTCCACAAGTACGAAGAGTTTATTGCAGAATTGACAATATCAGCTCTTGTACCTTTAGGAATCACAGGCAATATCTGCCTGAAATCACCTCCGAGAACAACAACTTTTCCTCCGAATGGTTGTTCTACACTTTCTGGATTTGTGCGGCGTAATATATCCTTTAGTGTCCTGTCCAGTGCTTGAAAGCAATGTTTATGTACCATCGGTGCCTCATCCCATATAATAAGTCTTGCTCTTATAACCAAAGCACACAAATCACTTCCTAGTTTGATGGTACATGTTGATTCTTCAGTAATGTCAATTGGTATTTGGAATCTTGAGTGTGCAGTCTTTCCACCAACCAACAACAACGAAGAAATGCCACTTGATGCAACATTTAAGACAATTTCGCCTTCCATTCGAATGGCAGCTGAAAGTGTGCGATAGACATATGTCTTTCCAGTCCCACCGTAACCATAAATGAAAAATAAACCTCCTTTACCTCTTTCAATTGCACCTGTAATCTGTTTGTAAATCTCCCCTCTGCTCATCAGTCAAATTTCCGTATAGCAAATCATGTTCTTCTCTCAATTCTGATCTATTGTAGTCTAATTCATCATGAATCATGGTATTAGTTCCATCATCAATGAAAACATCTCCTGGATACGGCATTCCAGGAAATTGCTTCAGGGATTTACCATGAGTCCGTAGAATAAACTCAATTTCTTTCAATGCATGCATTTTCTTCTCATCTTCGGACACTACGTAATCTGTGTGTAACAATGTTTATGGGTAATAACAGTAATAAGAAAAGAAACAAATCACATTTAATTAATTCAGGATATATAATGTTTAAACAGATAAAGAAACTTAAAATAATAAACCAGAATAAAATATACCTTCATTCATGTACAAACGCTTTAATTTAAATGGTATATCTTCAGTGTAGCAGTCCCAAGTCTGCTCTAGGACATGATCAGGTTTAGAAATAATTTCTCCATCCAAAAGCTCTGCAAAAAGATGTCTGCAGTAACTTGCTGAACCCCAAGTTGATGCTTCCATTATGCAATCTATGTATTCCTTATCATCTTCCAGTAAACCCCTAGCAAAGTAAGCTTCTTTGAAAGAAGTGTATTCTATATCATCTACTGTCATTATTTCTTCATAAGATGTTGGACCTTTAACAATATTAAGAAGCATTCTTAGATAATAAGGTTCACCAGCAGCTATAGGAACACCATGAATCCTACCAATGCTATCACCTTTTTTCCTCGGCTTCCACATTTTGTCCTTTCTTTTCCAGACAAACTTGGATGGAAAATTTATGTACGTAAGGTGTCTTGCTTCAGAGTGTATGCTGTTACATTCCATCCATGCAGTGAACTTTGACTCTCTGTTAGAAGCTCTACTGATAACAGATTCAATTGTCTGGTCTTCATCGTATATTACACTTTGCTGACCAGGCATATGGAAACTTAATCGTTCAACATGATGTGTCCTGTAATGTATTGGGAATTCAAATATACGCCAAACAGCTTCACAACCAGATAAATATCTGCCTTCGTACCAATCTTTCACTTCATCCTTTGGAGCTTTATAATAATTTTCAGTGATAACTTCTCCGTTGACAGTATATTTGAAAGAAACTCTGTCTGAACCCTTGTTCAAGTATTTGAATAGGTATTTAATAGCACCTGCTTGATTGCACCATTCAATATTGATATGTGCATGAAACCTTAGTGTCAAATACCGATTGTAACCTACAACCCATCTGTTATCTATAGTAGCCCCATTTTTCTCAAATGATTTTCCATCATTACGCCTTCTATAAACAGGGAATCCATCATCACCTATAGTTGTTTCGTCCTTCCATTTTTTAGGAAATTTCTTTGAGCATTCATTCTTCACCATGCAAGGACTATAAGGATGTTCCATGCCACGTGGTCCATGAATCATTAGCTCAGTAACGATATTGTACAGCATGGGATCAGCATCTTTATCAGGCAGTTCAGCACTAATGAATTTGTCTATATCCTCCGGTTTTGATAATT